GCCCTAGATTCACACCATCTTGATTCGTTTTCTGGAATACCTCAAATTCCAGTATACCGCGTCCTGGTCATTCATATACTGTTGCTCTTTTCATGCACGAGGATGTATTAAAACATCAATTACTTACCATCTACTAAAGAATCCACAAGGATCTGAAATTCAGCAGGGACGTCGGCTTGTTTCCATCTTTCATTGTCCAAAATTAAACTGAAACGATGAAACGACAAAGCGTGTTGTTTTCAAATCGACAAAGCGTGCTTTTCACGAACTGTTGCAGGCTGACTTACTATATTAGGGGGTTGTTTACATGTTTCCGCATAGCAAAGGTTCAACGAAGCGTGATATGACTTTGAGGTATTGAAATGAGCATATAGCATGATTCTGGCAGTCGTGTACTAATTCTGACAATAGCATGCTCTTATTTGGTTTTATGAAGAGTTATCATCTCACGCTGCGTAGAATCTGCGCTAAGCGGAACCATGTAAACAGCCCTTAAACATAAGGGTCAATAAGAGGGTATGAAAAATTCACGTGCTTTTGCTTTAAAAATATTTAAATAAATTGTAATTACTGTCAGTTAATTGGGACTAAAACAAGAGGTTTTAATTTGAAACATTTTTTATTCATTTTTATCCACATCTAACTTCTGGCTGAGAAAATCCTGAGTGAAAATGGATAGCTAAACTTGTTTTATAAAATTGAAGTTTTGGAAATTTCTGCCTCAAAATATTCAAATAACAAATTTGGGATATTTTAAATAAACTGATGTTACGCGCAAAAAGCTACTCTTACAACTTTTTGCATCAACATTTTCCTCATTTAATGGTTTTGAGAGGCGATTTCATTTCTTTCTGTCATTACCTTAACTTTTGTTTCTTTTCCTCGTGAAATCGCTCAACGAATTTCTTGGATTGTGTGACCAAGATGGATCTCAATGCACGACTGTGACGACCACACACTTCCTCACACTCACATACAAACTTTTCAACAGACTTCGAGAGGGAAACGAATTCTGCAGAGGCTAACATATCAAAATAGCCAGCCTGTGATTCAATAGAGAAATCAAGGGATCATTAAGTTAGAATCCTTGTGGTACAATTTGCAATGGTTTTGCATTTAAGTTGTACAGAGATCAGTAACATGAGTAAATATTTAGTTTAATATATTTGTGTAGTGTTTATATGGCTAATTTCCGTTTGAGACTACTTTTTGATCTATGCAAGATAATCCAATCAAATCACCACCACCATTTTGGGCCCGAATATGGTACCAATTTCCGTGTGTTAAACCAAAGTATACCAATTTGCGAACTTTGCAAGACTATATTTTCCGCATTTTACGACATTTGGCAACCAAACTTTCCATTTCTACTAATTTTAGTACGCTCTTTTCAATTGTGGTGATTTGATTGGATTATCTTGCATAGATCAAAAAGTGGTCTATAATGCAAAAGGTCTATTGGTAAACTAGCATTGGTATATTAAGACGAGATTTTTCATCATGTCGCGTATTTTGGCGCGAAAACGTTTAAAACCTAAAATCTTTTCGGCGTACTGCCCCAAATTAATTTATTTTACCTTTAATTAACCTTTAGATTATGTTGTGAACTAAGTTTTGAACTGTATTTGGTGAATGCAAAACACCAAACAAAGGAATTACTACAAAATATAATGCGGCTATCATATAATGTCAACGCCATTAGAACTGAAATGAATACAAAAGAAGCTTCGATTCAAGTGTCATTTTCTTCTCGGCGTACCCCGAGAAATCGTTTCATTTTCACAATATTTTGAGATTATATAGCAAACATACTTTGTGGATGCTTTTCAGGTTTGCGAAAAATTTTTAATGCTGAAAATTTTAGTGCTGTTGCATGAAGATATAACTGAGGTTTTGGGCATATATTACGCGACATAGAAAAATATCTCCTCTTAACAAACAACTATACATGCACCTTAATTCTATACCTTAAGGTGGCTCCCTACAATTTTAAGATTATTGAAAACAAATTACTTAGATTTAAAATTTTGGCAGATTTCTTGCTAAACGAAATGAAATTTTCGAGATATATTAACCAACATTCTAACAGTCAGAAATTGTCCATAAGTATGACGTCATTACCGTTGTTATGGTAACAATGGCGATATATGGCCGACATTTTACCTATTCACGCATTTTACTCGAAAATAAGTTCCTTTACTCTCATTTTTTATTTTATGAAAAATTTTCTTACAAGAAAATGGGAAATTTGAGGAAGCAAAAATCTGAGCCAAAAAATCATTATCACGAAAAATTTTTGCCTCCACAGAATTTTTCTAAACTTGTTCAAAACATTTTATAAAATAAAAAGGCATGAATACGTAAGGGCCATGTCGCAGTGCTCGGAAGCTTTCCTGCAATTGGATAATGCTTTTCTATGCTTTCTAAAGAATGAAGCTATGCTATTGGTTAAGACAGAAATGTATTGTAAAGTTCAGCCAATGAAAATCATTCTTGCGAGGAGCTGCCACGCTAACGATAAGTAATGACCATATTGAATCGCCATTGTTACCATAACAACGGCAATGACGTTACTTATGGACAATTTCTTACTGTTAGAATGTTAGTAAATTTATCTGGGAAATTTATTTTCTTTTAGCAAGAAATCTCGTGCTAAAATCTAAATCACAAGTTTTCAATATTTTTAAAATTGTAGGGAGCCACCTCAATTAGCAAAGAAAGTAGTATGCAAACGTCACACAAAGGCGTGCGCTGCTTTACAAAGAACTGTTGGTCTGATTATCGGACTCAGGTGAATTCTGCACTGTATACTATAATTAGGCCTTTCCCGATTGCGCTTGTGAATAAATAATTAGTTTAATAGTCGAGATTTTATTTAATAATTAGTAAGCTATTAGCAGAATGGATCATGTATAAGCCTAAAAGTTGCTTCCTGTTAACCAAAAAAGCAAAAGTTGCTCCAGGTAGCTGGAGACCAGAACAGTTATTCAAATTTTAAAAAGTTGCTTAAAAGTTGCCGAGCACAATCGGGAAAGGTCTAACTATAATAAAAAGTCTGCGTTACGAGACGTAGTTCGCAGACAAAGTAACTTTCCGATTGGCCAATGCAGCCAGTTGGCAAATTAGGAACATGTTTGGTTCCCAAGCTACGTAAGAGCAAAGACGTTTTAAAATCGTCTATACATGCCACGTTAGCCGTAACAACTTTTTAGTTGTTTAGGGCCTTTTCTTTCAACGTATCTAGCTGTAACTGAGTACGCACATTAAAAATATTCTTTGCTACAGCTAGACATGCTTGAAATAATACCCCCAACTAACTAAAATTTGCCTCTTACACTTCTGACTACGTGGCAAAAGCTCCAACCTTAGCTCTAATGTTGATCAGTTTAACACAACGTGCTTGGGCCAGTTCTCCAGCACCTCCAAGGATTTCCTTGCTCTCATTTGACAACTTTCCACATTGAACCGAGGATATCAAGACATCGTTGCTAGATAATGTCAACATGCATGCGATACATTAGACAGAAAACCAAAAAAGCAGCAGGATATATACTAGGGTGGGCAGGGGGGTGCGAACCCCTCTAACTTAGTCCGGGGGGTAGTACAGAAGGGGTGCAAATTGGGTATGAATTCAGATTTAGGGGGATCGTGTACGAAAATCAGTGTCCAAGGTATCAGAATTTTGGAGCATTTGGAATTTTCAAGTCTTTTTTGAGGCTCTGACAATTTTTATAATTTTTCCAACAAACATGTTTGTTTTATCAAGCACCGGTTAATCATACAACGATTACCAGTAATTGTTGTTAAACTGTTTGGTCAAAGGATGGTTAAGTTGTGTTTAACGTGCTTAACTTTTGATTTATAGGCAAAGAGGTGAAAATTAATCATGCACAAAAACTGGAAAGTGTGCACATGCAAGAATGATATAAAATGGCAAATTTTTGTTGTAAAATGCGAAAATTTAGCATTGCAAAGTTGGCAAATTTTGCACACTTTTGTATTGCGTGCGTAATTTGTTATCATTTTCGACCAATGTGGTAACAATTTCCGTGTTCAATGAAAAAACTTTGCAAAGCAGCATTTTCCGCATTATACAACATTTTTCCAAATCAAACTTTTATACGGTTTTACTGTTATCCAGGAAAACACTTTTTTCCAACTAATCAACCAATAAAACATTGGTACAATAAATGAATTTCAGGTAACCAATCTTAAGTACTGTTTTTATGGTGTCGTTACCATCATGAGGTGAATATCAACGAATATATGTTTTAGTATACTTACAAAGGTGATTTTTTGAAGAAACGAATCTGCTGCAAAAATACATGTTTTACAGTCATAAACAAATATCTGCACAGTTTCACGGCAATGCAAGTCAAACAATGTTATCGCAAAATAAAAATAAAAGTTATGAAACGTTCTACAAAGTAGTTTTTACCTTGAAAATAATTTTATGCCTAATTTTTTCACTTCTTTTGTGCTTTCAGATACACCATTTTTGTTAAAATAACGTATTTCTTCATCTGTCACTTGCACAAAAACTCGCAGCCATTTTGAAAAATCCGCTTAGGTGATTATCGCGTAATAACCAATCAGAGGGCAGAATTTTCAAAAATCACCTTTGTAAATATATACTAATGAACAGTTAATTGCCGAAGGCGCGGTGAATCTGATTCACGGAGCCTGAGGCGACTTAAGGCTGGTTTCCACTCAGGAAAATTCTCCTTTGGATCGGACAGGACAGGACAGGAAAGTTTCCTTTGTATTAACGCCGCCTGAGAACTCACCGACAAAGGAAATTTTCCTGTCCGTATAAGGATTTAGACTTTTACGTGCGTGTACGTGCGTATGAAAAACGCGTAAGTGGAAAACAGCCTTAAGTATAAATTTCGAGGTGTTTACAAATATTAATCAACACAATTTCATAAAAATTTATAATTTATTTGAAATTTCGTATTTGAAAAACAACACCAAAAAGCTATAGTCACCACCTGGGGACTAACACTTCAGAGACAATGGATCTTAACCAATCAGAATGCTGGAAAATCAATAATCACCTCAAAATGTATACTAATCTATATTAATCATTTTTGTAACCAGCTTAATAATGAAACCGCCATATGCATAAAATATGCCATACGATACATGCCATACAAACCTTGCAGTAGAATGTTCCATAGACCAAGACTTCGTCTGGTCCTGGCCAGCTGCTATGGCAAGCACATTGACAAAACTCTGGTGAAGAATCTATATATAAATAAACACTTGAATCATCGACATATCAATGCACACTGCATGCAGGCCCGTTACACTAAATTTATCGACACGCGGCACGCATAAAATGGGTACCGTGCTTAAAAAGTCGCACATTACATTTTCCTAAAAGTTACTCAACTTCCTGTTCTTGTTTGTAAAATGCATGTTTGTACAATGGTGTTCGGGTGATATTTTTAAAAATTATGATCATTTATATAGGATTTGGTATTGAACTTGGTATTCGGTAAAATAGAGAAATATACCTTCATTCGCTTGAGCGTCTGTAAAACGTTGGTGAAAACAACTTCTAACATGTCTAGCCAGGCTTGGAAATTCAGACTTTGCATTGCGTCACGTAAATCTTGACTGTTTGTAAAATAAATCGAGGCAAGGCTTTGCTTACCGAGATGTATCAAAATTAGGCAAAATTTGCTAGTCAACATGAAGTCAATACCTGTCTTCAGAGATCGTAGTTTGCGACATGAAATTTCTTGCAGTCTAAAAAGAGGCACCATTTTCTAATCTGGTTGCTCAAATTGTAAACGATAGCAATAACATTGATTTACTAAATTCAAATGTTTTTTTGCAAGTTTAGCATGAATACGATGCATGCATTTGTACCCTATCATTATTTTAGTGTTCACATTGTACTATAGTACATATTGTACACAAGTATATATGAATGACTGCAAGGTTTGAAGCAAATCTTTACATATTTCAACAATATATTAACAACTCGAGTATGACCACTTGCACTTACCTCCTTTACTGTTTCTTTAATTGTAGCAAATGCTTCTTCTTTATACGCGTAAATAAAATGGAATTTCTGTTTTCTCAAGAGGCCAAACAATACGGATACCAGGCGTTCCTAAAAGTTCGTAAAATTTTGAAAAAATTCCCGTTATCTGGTGCACTAATTAAGCCAGCTATTTTATTGCTTTATGATATTCATTTGAATTTTTATATCACTGGTGTTTCCTGGAACCTGATTGGTTCTTGGCAGAGTGATTTCAGCTTCTATATTTAAAGCACCAAATTTACCACTAAAAACTATATAAGTATATATGCATTCTTATTTTATATGAAATAGGTCGATTCGCTAATATTTTTTCTATCATTGGGTTGTGAACATTACATAGCTAAAGAAACATTACACACTAAATTTTTCTAGATATATTAGGCCCTATTAAGCACTCTCACGTTTTGAATCGATTGTAAAATTCAATGAGAGTCTACAAATATAATAATTCAGATTTCCAATCTCAATGCATATTTATAAAAATCCACGGCGCTATAACCTCGTCAATGACATGATCTTGTTCATCATAGTCTTCAAGCGGTTTTGCAAGATTCGTTGTGGCAAACTCTATGAAATCCGCCTCCATCATGCGTTCAATGACTCGCTCTAGTTCGGCCAACTGGGAACCTAAGTGTCTGAGTATGTATAAAAAGAACATTTCCACAATTAGACTTGAGAAAGGTCTAATTACAATCTTAAAGTAGACCTAAATACTCACCTTAGACACTGAATTCCACCAAGCTCGAGTTGGAGAACTTCTTGCGTTGTGGAGATTAGATCTAATGCTGCAACAAAATCTCCAGTGGATAATAGGAGTTGTATAGTTGGCTGTGTTTGCTGCACTGCAGACATCAGTTTTAACTAAAATATTGCAAAATGAGATCATGATGTGATTGATTGATATCAAAAGATTGATCACAAGTATTTAATAAGCGAACACGTTGGAATTCTGTTCTTAATCAAATTATTCGTGTATATGCTTTATCTGATAGAATAAAATATACTTGAATCGATTTTCAGTCACTAAAATTCAAAACTGAGATCGACACAGAAAAAAACTAAATTGAGATTGAAATAGAAGGCTTTCAAAGAGAAACTTGCACAAAACCCATATAACCCTGGTTTTACATTTGCGACAAGTATTCCCCTCAGAACGCACGTACATGACAAATTTTTTAACTGAATGCAAATGTCATACTACATGCAAATTTCTACATGCTACATACTACATACAAATGTCATGAAAAATGCAAATTTTATTATTCATTTCCCTAGAAATTCATTGTTTTCAAAGTCAATAAACACCAAAATATTAGCATAACGGGACAAAATTGTTGGGCTGGCTACGCTAATGCATGCGTGATTGACATGGCCGTGACATTCTATATACAGGGTGTATCAAAAAAAATGTCCCAAATGTAAAATTTCCGTTTTTCAGGATATTTTGCAGAATTTGGCAAATTTTTGTGTTCCCAAAGATAGATAAGACTTATCTGGTATACCTAGGCCAAGTTTGGTTTTTCATTAACAAAATTATGTTACCGGGGGGGGGTGGTTCCTTTCCACTGATATTGAGAGGGCTTGCGCGCGAAAATGTGAAGCTGAAATTGCGATATTATTTAGCTGTCTAAAAGTAGGAAAGCTTTTTGATAAACTGTCAAAGTTTCAGGAAAAATAATGCATACTAGGAGCAACGCGCGACCCCTAAAGGTGACAAATACCTCATTGCGCGCAGTGGATTAAATGCATCGTTGATTTTAGCGTGACCAATCTCATGTAAGGCTAGGCAAATGAATAAATTAAAGCGAGAAACTGAAGACAAAAACAAAGCGATTTATTCGTGATGTTAATCCTCAGCATGTCCACCATTTCATTCTAAGCAAACTGCTGCTTGTCTGAGCATACTAAACACTGAACAGCGAACCATTTGTCTGTCCATTCGCCTAGATTTGCCGGTGGTAGCGTAGGCGATTTGCAAGAAAGAATTTCGAACGAAATGGATAATTTGAGGCAGGACAGACAAATGTGGTTCGCCGTTCAGTGTTTACCATGCTCAGACGAGCTGCAGTTTGCTTAGAAAGAAATGGTGGAAATGTTGAGGATTAACATCAAGAATAAAAATCTTGTTATTAAATCGCTTCGTCTTCTTGTTCAGTTTCTCGCTTTAATTTATTCATTTGCCCAGCCTTGCATGAGATCACGCGGTCACGCTAAAATCAACCATGCATTTAATCCACTGCGCGCAATGAAATATTTGTCACTTTTAGGGGTCGCGCGTTGCTCCCAGTTTGCATTATTTTTCCTGAAACGCGCAAGCCCTCTCAATATCAGCGGAAAGGAATCACCCCCCCGGTAACATAATTTTGTTAATGGAAAACCAAATTTGGCCTAGGTATACCAGATAAGTCTTAACTATCTGTAGGAACACAAAAATTTGCCAAATCTTATAAAATATCCTGCAAAACGGAAAACCTACTAGGATTACTTACAGAAAAAACAAACGGCGGGAGCGCATCTGGGTCCCCAATTTTAGATTATTAATCCCATTGAAGACTCCTGTTACGATCCCACGCTTTCCCAAGATTTGGTTTAGTAATGTTAGGTCGATGGTCAACAAGTTAGACGAAGTTTCTGCATCAATTTCTATCGAACTGTGTGACGTTGCCGTAATTACTGAAACATGGTTAAATCCACAAATAACTAACGAGTCTATACGTATTCCTGGTTATGTATCTTGCCGACGTGATAGAATGAATAACCAGCGCGGTGGTGGTCTTTGTTCCTATTTTAACTCAAACCTTAATTTTACCGAATTAGCTGACTTAGGCGATCCTGAAATTGAGAGTCAATGGTTTTTAATCAAAATGGATCGATTACCCCGAGGAATAAACTCCATTATCCTGGGAACAGTTTATCACCCCCCCAAAGCGATGACCACGCGCTTCGAAACGCATATCTTCAAATGTTTAGATTCCTCATTGGCCAACTATCCTAATTCCCGCTGTTCTGGTTCTCGGAGATTTTAACCAATTTAAGCCAGGAAATCTGTGCAATTCCTTTAGATTGAAAACTCTGGTCACCAAGCCTACCAGGGGAAGTAATATCCTTGATCAAGCATTTTCAACCTTATCGGCTTACTACGATGCTACCATCCTACCACCTATTGGCCAATCTGATCATTCTAGCATATTACTTCAACCCACTTCACCACATGCTCCAAGCCTACCCACCACACGACTCCAAAAGCGTGATTATCGTGTTTCCAACAAACGAAATTTGATATCCTGCCTGGACTCGGTCAATTGGACACCGCTCATGAGGCGAAATTCATGTGACGATCAACTGGATTTGTTCCAGTCTGTGGTTCATGGTGCTTTGAATTCATGTATTCCCATGCGTACTGTTAAACTCCATCCCAACGATAAACCATGGATTACTCCCGCTATTAAAGAATCCATTAAGAAACGTCAACAAGCTTGGTTGAATAATGACCTTCCCAAATTTAATGTTTATCGCAATAAAGTGATAAAACTCTGTAAAAGTGCACGTCGAAGATTCTATAACGACAAAATCAATCACATGAACCAGAGCAATCCTAAAAAGTGGTGGGACGGTATCAAGCAGTTGTCAGGAATGTCCAACCCCCCTCCGTTTAATAGTCTAGCCATAAACGGCACCGTCTTGAGAGACTTTGAACTTGCCACCGTCATTAATGAATCCTTCTGCAGTACTGCTGCTGATATACCGCATTTAAATTTCACTCCAGTACCCGTTTCCAATGTTCCTGATAGATACGTCATTACGCGTGATGCTGTTGAACTTGCATTGGCAGGTGTTAACGATCGTAAGTCTGTAGGACCTGATGAGATCCCCAATTGGATCCTGAAAACATGTGCCGCAAATATTAGCTACCCCGTATGCTCCATGTTTAACTCTTCCATTAGAGAAGGTCGTGTACCTGATCTGTGGAAATGCGCGGATGTTCTCCCTTTAAGCAAGATCCCTACACCGAAATCTATTGATACGGACCTTAGACCTATATCCCTCACGGCAGTACTGAGCAAGATCCTTGAGTCTTTCGTGTTCAATTGGCTTGCACCCATTGTTATGCCATTCATTGATCCCCTCCAGTTTGGCTGTGTGAAAAAGTCCTCAACGACTCACGCCCTCGTGCACCTAATCCACCATTGGCTTTCGGCCCTGGAAACACCTAATACCATTATTCGATCCTGCTTTATTGATTTTTCCAAAGCGTTTGATCGAATTGACCATAACATTCTAATGCGCAAATTACAACTCCTCAACGTTCCACCCGTGTTATTAAACTGGTGTTCAAGTTTCCTTCAAGGCAGACAACAGCGCGTTAAATTAAAATCTTGTAAATCTGATTGGAAAGAAATCAATGCTGGAGTTCCGCAAGGCACAAAATTGGGCCCTTTGTTCTTTCTTATAATGGTCAATGATCTATCCAGTGAACTACCACTGTACAAGTACGTTGATGATTGTGCTATTTCTGAAGTTGTTAGAGTATGTGAACCGGATTTTCCAAAATTACAGCAAGAACTCGACAAGGTGTCTCAGTGGTCGAATGTGAACAACATGAAATTAAACGTAAAAAAAACTAAAGATTTCACCGTGTCCTTCTTGATCAATCAACCCCCGGCACAACCCTTGCTTGTCAATAACCTACCTCTGGAGGCTGTGAACTCTATCAAACTCCTGGGAGTAAATTTAACCTCCGATCTCAAGTGGACCACACACATCAGGCACATATCCTCTAAAGCAAGCAAACGCCTGTATGCCTTAAGGCTATTAAGAAGAAATGGTGTCCAACCTAGTGATCTTAAGGCGGTATATTGTAGTTTCATCAGACCTGTCCTGGAATATGCATGTCCAGTTTGGCATACCTCACTACCTAATTTCCTCACCGTTGAATTGGAACATATTCAGCAACGTGCGTTCAAAATTATTTTTCCCCATTTGTCCTACACCGAAAGCCTTAAAGACCTGAATTTACCTACCTTAGAAGCGAGAAGGGAACGGTTATGCAGATCCTTTTATAAAAATAATTATAATGACCCTTCGGGTAAAATTTCTAGTCTATTACCCAAACTTTTAACCCATGAGTATGATCTCAGACATCCTCGATCGATCTCTCTTTTTAAATGTCGAACGAAACGCTATAATGATAGCTTTTTGCCGTATTGCATACGTAAATGGAACTCATTTTAATATTTTAATATTTTAGAACCTAATGTTAGCATATCTTCTTGTAGTTATTGGATTAACATGTTAGTAATTGTATTTCTGAGTATTTTATCACTGTAAATATGTAAATAGTCTTATTTCTGATACTTGTAAACTTGTGTTTTTCAGTTCGTTTTTGAACTGCCATTCAAGTATTTTAATAATAATCATCATCATAATCATCAGGAACACAAAAATTTGCCAAATCTTATAAAATATCCTGCAAAACGGAAATTTTACATTTGGGACATTTTTTTTGATACACCCTGTATATTCCGCCATCTTGGTTTCTTGGTGTCTATTAAGTCTTCATTTAAGATAATAATTATTGACTTCTACGAACACTAATTTCTTGGTGCATACCACTAGGTATTTCTTGAACGGTGGTTTCTGATACAATCTTTTTCACAAGTTATTTACCTTGTTATGAACACAGTGATATCTTGATCTTAATTGCACCAGCCGCATAAACGTAAAAGAACCACCACACAACACATTCTGTACTTGTTTTATCTTCGTTCTAATATATGAATAAACGCAGAACCAATTGAAGAAGGAGCACAATTATTACTCGATAAATCCTCACAATTTCAGCGAAATTCCATACACTCTAGGTACACTAGTCTATAGGTACAAAAATAGGTACACTAGAGGTATATGTATGTATCGATGAAGCCGGTTGATGCGAAATTAAATTTTAAAAAAATATCTCCTAGCAACTTTCAATTATTATGTTCTAATGTAACAGCCACTGCCAGGACCAAATAGACCGCTTGATTGTTGGGAGTGCATATTCATATTTACTTACCCTATAGGAACAATAGCTTTAAGAGAAATCAAGAATATACGAATAGGCACCCCCCACCCGCCATTTAGACTTCCTACAGTTCTATCTTACGAACTTTGAGTCCTAAGGTTAACGCATCTACAACCCAATGGTTACAGACCTTAAATGTCTAATTTCAGCATTTGTTCGTCCAACATCTTCTTGAAGCTGATCTTGTGATGACACAGCTAAGAAGAAATCTTCAGACCTCAACGATATCTGATGAGCTAAAGCAACCTCAGCAATGTCCAGGAAATGGGAAAGCTGTCGTGAGAAATTTTTTTTGAAAATATTAGAAAGATGCATTTAGTCTAAGGTAAACAAAGTATTGTACCTATAAAATATTTGCAAGAAAACAAAAACAGATTTTGTGACAGTGTTCAACCAAGAAAACACGCCGGTTATATCAACTAAATTCGGTTATAATAACAAAAAATAAATTAGCCAAATAGAGCTTCTTATGACCGGTCTTTTCGTTATCACAACTCACGCAGGGATTACTATAACGATAAGCTATAAGACCATGTAGGTTGTTACAAACCTTTTCTTGCATTAACTTAAGAGAGTTCTTAGGGATATTCATTAAGGCGTTTCTGCTTCTATTTTTTACATCAACTGGGTCCATTTTTGTCAAAGGAATAACGTATTTGAATGTCTCGGGATGTTCCAAAGTAAAATTTGCATCCATGAATGTCTAGAGAAATGCAATTGTGGTTTACTAGTTCATGAAATCGAATGATTCACGAGGAACAAAACACAGTTACGGCACACGTGTGGTATAGCAATGTTTATACCTTGGGAATGACATCAAGATTATTTAGGTACTTGTCTAAAAACAAAGAGTATGTATTATTACACACACCAATGTAGCTATACACGCACTTTAAGCACTTTAAGTGCATGTGCGTAGCTACATGTGTGTATGAATTTGATGTCACAATTGCACCCGTTTTTCGGGACAGGCAAAACAAAATTATCTTCACTATGTTTAATGTCTGTTTGTAGTTAAATGTCACACAAATATTTTGGGCCACCTACGACCAATAAAGCCGTGTTTTTAGCATGTCACTGAAAGTCTAACCACGCAATCACATTAAACCACGGTTCGTTACAATAAGGAGAGTAGGGATTCTGGTCATTGAGGGCAATGGTGATTCTCTACTGCAATTTATGCACAATTGAAATTCAACTGAGAAACAGCTGAGAAGTCATCAACCAACTATAGTCCCGTTTACACTACACTCATTATTGACACGACACGTCTAAAATTGGTACACATACCAAGCATGGTAGGATGTGTATATAAATTTATAGTAATTCTTTCGGGTTTTCTCAGCTGTTCCTTGCCCAAATTTAAACTGTGTAAAAATTTCCATGAACCTTCTTAGGGACTGTTTACATGAGCCCAGTTACCCCAGATTCAACGAAGCGTGAGAGGACTTTGAGGTATTGAAATAGTCTTTATGACACCAAAACAAGCACATGCTATTTTTGTGGTGATTATATGACTGCCAGGATCATGTTATCTGCTCATTTCAATACCTCAAAATCATCTCACGCTTCGCTGAATCTCGGGTAACCGGGCTCATGTAAACAGCCCCTTAGTCTACATATTCAAATTTGCATGTAATTTATCACGACGCCAGGCCAAAACGGATAAAAAATCTCCGTTTTTAAAAATACCCGGGTATTAATATTTATATTCAGAATACGCTTCCCAACCGGCACGTCTCCGGCAACATTAACTTTTAGTTGTAATTATTCCTCTAGAGTAAAATGCCACAAAATCCTAATTGATTTATCAATCATTCATATTATAATTCACTAAAGAAATAAAACATTTTTTATGGGAGGATTATGTGATCTACAGTGGCGTAGCCAGAACGATAATTGGGGGGGCCAATATTCATATATTCGTGATACGCAGGATTAATTTCTTTTCAAATCAATTGTCTTTACAGTCTGTTAACATGAATATATGAATATGGGCCCCCCCAATTATCGATGCTGGCTACGCCACTGGTGATCTATGCACTCTGTGAGCTATGCACTCTGTGTCAGTGATCAATACACTATATGTGATCTATGAGGTATTTTCTGAGATTGTTGGAAAGTGGGAAAATATGCAGGCCAAGGTAATTCCTGGCGAAGTCTTACCTTGCACAGCTATTAATCATTCAGATTGCGTGTTTCACTGTAGTTATTATACCATTTTCATGTAAACTTGAGGCAAACGCTAATTTCACTTACCGCCTTGTCTCTTAGCAGCACAAGCAGCGGCTTTGCTGAATCCAGTATCACCAAGATCATCTGACTCGTCAGCACTTTGGAAACTTTTTTTAACCTTCTCATGATTCTTTATTCTCTGTCAATACCAAATAAATCAAATACATATCAACTTGGAGCATACTTGTTTGAAGTTCTTAAAAACTGATATGCCTGCAAATTTTATAGCAGTATTACAGATGCCAGTTATTCGAAATGGAAAACAAACTATCTATTTATTGAACAACCGAAGTGATATATTTTGTTCAATGCATACAATGTAGGTTCGACTATTCACAAAAGGTATGCATACTTTTAAACTTTGGCTTATTATCCACAGTTTGTTCTACTAGACACTGTCTGACACTAGCATTGATTCTTCACCAAACATTCTCACTGTTGCCTTTTCTACTAAGCAGATGTTACTTTCCAAGAAATGTACATTTTTCAACCTTTTTTGTTTGAAATTTGTAACTCGTTGAGAAGTTGTGATATGCGAATGCAGCTAAAGGCCGAACTGGGTCCTATCAATATCTGTGCATAAACTCCATGCTGGGGACATTTCTGGGCCTAATTTGGCCTAGGTATTCAATGTCCGCAGCATTCCAACAAAAAACCTAAAATGGTAGACATTATACTTTTTGCTGCCTTCAGTACACATGTAAGTATACTGTAGTAGTTCTGATGGGCCCATATTCTGTGGTGTAGGAAACATTCAGGAAACAAACTGAGTGATACATAACATAATGCATGTTTATTATGTATCAATGTAATTAATGTATACTGTATTATAAGCAAAAAATTGTGTAGTACATAGACAATTTCTTTTCATACAGTAAGAGTATATTAGATCATATTTAATAAATGGTAAGGTTTATCTATATAACTACTGTATACAAGTATAATCGATACTCACAAACTGAATTTTCTTAATATAGTCACTGAAGTAGTGCCTGGGAACTGCTTGAAGCAAAGTTAACTGAGGCACCTCACAAGGTTCAAATTCTGCACCCCAAGTCCTGGTAAAAAATTCCTTAGATCGCTTTCTCTCATTAGGATCATTAAGAACAGCTGCAAGATTCTGAGTTGAGGAGAAAAATGTCCATTTCTCTTCACTAAAGGAGATAGGTGGCATCTGTACATAACCAATCATTCTGTTATCACATTGACGTTCTTTGAGACCATAATCATCTACAAATAAGATGTACAAGGTTCCTTTATGAGTAAGATGTACATTCCTTTATAAGTAAGACGTACAAGGTTTTGTACTTATGCTATTGTATCATATGTTACACATAGTTTTTATTTAGCTATTGTTTAGACTTATTGTGAAAATTGGCTGATTTGTGGTCAGCTGTTTGCAATGTTTCCTACCCCCAAAATAAGTGTTGCAAACATTATTGCATAAAAAGTACTACAATTGAATAAAAATGGATTCCTAAAACTCCATTTTAAAACATTATTTTAGGAACAATGGCCATGTTGCTGGCCTTAATGAATAATCATTCCTAAGGCAGGTTAAGGCAACATAGTGCATTACTTTATAATTTAAAAAATAAAGTTCAATTACATTCATTTGGGGTGCTGAGACAAGTTAACAAAAACAATGGTATCAATATAAAAAATAAAGGAAGTGCTAGTTTTTGGAGGTTATTTCAATTATTTTGTAATTTTCTTTCTCTTTTAATTTCAAACAATATTTTTTATTTCTATTTTTTATTTTTATTTCTTTGTTTAAGTTGAAGGTTTATTTCTGTCAGGATTTAGGTTGGGCTATAAATTTTGGGATGGGATTTGAAGTTGTTTTGGGTAAAAATAGACATAAGTTTTGAAACTACTGCCTACCAATCAGATATAATGAAACTGCTAGCAAGTTCAGAGTATCAATCTTAATTCTTACCAGTCCTAGCAAATGATGTTCCAACATGGTGCTTTTCAACATGATCTTCATAATCAGCATCACTGACTCCTTCAACAGGAAGCGATGGACACACACCATTCCAGCCATAAAGACAAACAAATGAGCCACCTTCTTTGGAACAATGTTCTGAACGAAGATGTCTGGCAAAGTCGCGTGGATTCTGAAATGTAATCTTGCCCTCACAGATCAAACACATTGCCCACGTTCTTTGGTGCAACATGTCTGCAATTTGTAGCATGTTCCCTGCCATTTCCAACTGAAGTTAAAATATTATTTACAATACGAAGTATCTTTTCCAAAACCACATGTTTATTAAACCAAGGCTTAACCATTTATCTACCAAGGCAATGCTACATCACTGCATGTCTACATGGAAAATCTGACTTCTTCGCAGTAGGATTTTACTTCTCCTTCGTATTCCAAGCCGACATCGTATTATTTATGATTTAAATTAAAAGGTTCTGACAATCAACTAACTCAACTCGGTTTAAATAGACCAGCCATTCTTCCTTCTCAAAATTAATGATCTTTTTCCCTGATCAGTACCACGTATCGTATCCGCACGCCATATTGAAACCTCGTTCCCAAGGTTTTAACAGAGCACTCCAGCAGAATATTATATAGCTATATAGCTCAGTTGTGGTCATGAAATGAAATAACCAGAGCACTCGACGTGTTCAAATCATATAAAATATACAAGATTTGGTTAGGACTACGGCTAACCCTAAAAACGATGAACCTACAAAGCCACTTGAGTTCATCTTCCTTGCCAGTTGATGAAAATAGTTTTAGTTTTCGCCATTAAATTATAAATACCCTATACTCCGCCTTCTAGGAACTACTTCCAACAATCCCGAAGACGATCCAGCAGTTTAGGGGCTATGAAGCTATGATATGATTCCCTTTGACGTCAGGGGCGTAGCATTTTTCAATGGACCAAAAGTGCCTTTATTGTGAAGAAAATGCCTTTTTTGGAAAAGCTAATGTAGCTGAGTATTATTTTAAAATCGAAAGTGCCTTTTCTTGTGCCCACTTACACATGCTAGTTAAAGAGTAGAGCATAAACATAGCCGCATTAGTGGTGTCCTTGCATTCCTATACATATTTTTAGCTGCCCGTCAGTTATTAACCAAAAATGCCCCTGGAAGCTGGTGCCCCCTTTGGGTGCTTCCTACGCCACTGCATGACGTACGTCGTACGTTTACGCACGTAAAAGTTTGAAATCATTTAAATTATGCTTATATAGAATCTACGATTGAAAAGATGCATAGGGTTGAATTCTGTTGCAGATTTGGTGTTTTTTCTGGCATAAAATTAATTATATAACAACAGAGGGGACAGACATGAAGGAAAGAGTCTTATTGGGGTTCTTCAAAGTTTTTCATGGTGTTGTTAAATAGTCAAAAATGTTTGCGATATATACACCATGTAATTTACATGACAGAATCTTGTTACTTGTTAGCCAGCCAGGTTCACATTTTTCCTAACAATTGCAGATCCCTTTTGTTTCAGTGAAGTTTACTAGTGCGCAAAATGTTTTGCCTATCGCCTATCGGAAAATAATACAATAGATCACCGATTCCTAGGCCTATAGGGCTGGTTATATATATTAAGCCCGTTTAGCTCGGTTGATAAGTCAAAATGAAATAAGGTTAAACTCTTACATCTCTCTTGAATGAATCAACTTGAATAGTATGCACTGCCTGATATGTAGTTCAGTAGTTGTAAACATTATCCGGCTTTGTAGTATTTGGTTTATTTGTATTCGTTCTAGTTATTATTGGCGCAACATGTTCCGGGATATTGACAGATGGTGCAAGAGTTGCGTAGATTGTGCAATGAAGAAATCGCCTCGTAATAAACACAAGGCCCCTCTTCTACCAATTCCAGTTCAAAATGCCTTTGATCGCGTTGCTGTGGATTGCATAGGTCCGTTTCCACGTTCAAATGCTGGAAATCGCTATGTTGTTGTCTTCACAGAATACCTCACTCGATGGCCTGAGGCGTTTGCTGTCCCAAGTATAGACTATTGCTCGTCCTCTAGTTAATCACGTTGTCCTCACACATGGCGCCCCCCGAGCATTGTTATCAGTGGAACCAACTTTATGTCAGCGCTTGTTCGATCGGTCTGTGAACTTCTCAATACCAAGAAAGTCAACTGACACCACAGCGTATCACCCACAAACGGACGGCCTTGTCGAAAGATTCAATCATACGCTTTGCCAATCGGTGTCAATGTATGTCAGCCGTGACCATGCAGAAGGATTGGGACAACCACTTACCAACAATACTCTTTGGGTTTCGAGTCAGCCCACATGAAACCACCGGATATAGTCCATTTTATTTACTTTACGCACGTGAACCATGTGATATCTCCACTCTGACCCGTACCCAACACAGAGTTCGACCATCCAAGACTCCAAGTCTTCGCACCCATCTTTGGCATCGCGGTCATCGTAGAACTCAACAAAAGCAAATCCAGGGGGGCTACGGTCCACCCAAACATCTTGGAGTTTACCATAGGGCGAGTTTTAATGTTCTAACTCTTCCTTACGAGCATCATGAGGAAGATTCCTCACATAAACTTTTATGGTTCGAACATCACTTCTTGACATCCTATAAAACAACACAACGATGTTTAAAAAACAAAGCATATATTTATACATGCAGAATGCAAAAACATCACAACCAAAATTTTGGGCCTCAATAAAATCGTTTAACACGAAAAAGTGAAAATGCACGTCACACATCGATGCCTTTTCGAAATTGAGGTAAAAGCGGAAAAATCTTAAGTTTGAAGTGAGATCGGATATAAGGTTAAATGAGGTTTACCAACTGTCGCGTTTCAGCTTTGCACGTACGTATACGCACGTAAAAGCTTAAAACCTTTTGTTGTTGTACGATTAATCTTATGCCAAAGGAAACACACCATGCAAATCTTCAACACTATACAGAACCAAATCTTCACTGACAACCTTATACATCTATTCAATCGTTGATTTGAACTAAGGCCGGCCTCCACTTGCACGTACGTACACGCCGAAATCGCACGTACGGCTTGCGCGTTAATGGCCGCGTTGAAAGTACAACAACTTAGAAGGTTTTGAGTTTTTACCTGCGTGTGCGTTTTACCTGCGGGACATTGTGGAAACCAGCCCTAAGTCACGAACCCTAAACTAAGGAGTATGGTGCCCCTCCCCCATTTTCGGTGTCCCTGCATTTTTGGCTGCTCATTTTCCTTTACATACTCGACAATAACATTTAGAAGGTTCTGAAGCTCCCCATCCGCCCAAGAAGTTCTCATTCTTGGTTTTTGCTTTGGATTTGATAAATTTCTGTTTCAACATCTCACTCGTGACACGCCTTTGGTTTGGGCGCGGATATTTATTTTAACGGATACGTATTAAAATAGTTTTTGTGTTCTCAAATCTGGCATCATGCAAACGGGCCTTAGATTTAAACAGGATAAGGGTTAAATTTAAGTTAGGTCGAGGCTTGGTCGAAAATTAATATGGAACGAGAACGAGAAAACGAAACCCATGCTCCAGTCATTTACTTTCAGCCCAGTGGGCTGAACCGAAACTCTCAAACATTAAAATTGAACTCAAAGCAATATTCAATATGGCGCTGAAAGCAGGATGACAAATGAACAATGTCTTTGACATTTTCATACACAATTCGCGAGCTTACCCGCGTTAACTTTAATTCAAACATGTACCATGGTTATTGAACAATCCTGGAATGGTTGAAAAGTCTATCACTCCTGAACGGTTGTTGGAGATTTTAAACGAGGACTCGAGTTACTGTATTCCGGTAAGTTGATATATTTGTACTAGTTCATCAGTACTCCTTAGGTTTTGAACAAATAATCTTTATTTGCGACGCTATTTTGCTATGGAAACATGAAATTTTTCTAACTTAAATAGTCAGATTATCGGTAAGGAAATTCTTGATATTAAAACGCATTGGTTCTCTTTAGTATAAAAATATTTAAATTTCATGTTGATAAAGGGAATAAGAAACGCAGAATGTCATTTTTATGATTATATCTATTGCAGAGGTGGCAGTTCCATATTTTAATATTATGAACAATCTTCCCGAAACACATACAATGCCAAACTTATTGTATGGATTTGTTTAAAGAAATAACTTAACTTGTGATATGAAATAATATAAGGTATAAATATAGAAGAATACAATTTGTATAATAATAGATGAAAACCCTCCTTCTAATGAGTTTTGGTCAAGATCATATTACACAAATAATGAATTTTTGCTATCTTCCCAAAGCAGATCCAGACCCTAGAGGGGATTAATAGGTGACCGATCAGGGATAATGGGAAAAAGTCAAACACACCTTTTGACAACATATTTTAATTTTAGTGCTTTCAATCTTTTGCATTTTATTCACTAGTTTTTTAATTTGCTATCTTTTATATATAATAGAGCTATTAGTATGTAGTAAGATATTTTTACTTAGGACCTTGGAGGAAAATATGTTTTGCAGAGCCTTGACCTCTTGAGAATTTTTGGTTTTGGCTGTGCATACAAATACACATTACAAATAAACCAAAAAATTAATACATGGGCATTTCTTTTTTTACACTGTTTTTATCTATTTGGAATTTTCAGTTTTAAAAAATGTGCACAAACTTCATATAATGATTTCTGACCAGTGAGCTTTTGGTACTTAAAACTCGTATTACTGCATTTAGTCAAGTTCATGTTAATGTCCTGACAGTCAAAGGTCATGAATGCCTGGAAAAAATTATAATCACTATAATACATGGTTCTGATTCCTAAAACACTATTAGTTCATTATTAAATTGAATTCTGTTAATAAAAGCAGATGATTTGCTACTCAAATATATATTACCTCTATACCTTCATTTTTTTAAAGCCACTCCTTGCTCCAGCTACCAATAAGAAATTGTCAAAACATCCAACATTACTACCTGGTGAGAAGATTTTGTTGCAGCAAGATGCAATATGTGTTGAAACATATCTCTCTCCTGTGGAAGGAACGTTGCATCTTACAACATTTAGAGTTATATTTAGTGGTTCATCACCGGTATGTTTACTTTGCTCAAACCTGAATTTGTCTTTGGCCTAATTTTTTAAACAGTTTAACCAATAGTACTTAGTCCTGGTCTTGTGCCATTTAAATTCTGTAAAATCGAGTTTTTAAATGTTCTTAATTTTCAAAAATTAAATTTAAAAAAACAGCCTTTTGCAAAGCAGCCTTTTGTAATAATTTTGTACATTGTTGACTTAAAATATAGCGGATTTAGTAACATATGAATACAAATTTTTCCTTACCAATTATGTGATAAGTACTACCGAATACCAAATGGAATACAAGCTGATGCATAAAAAATGTTTAGTTGTCCCCAATGAATATTGTATAGGAAGCCAATAATTGTCAAAGTTCTACTTATTTTATCAAGTGTGGTATACTAGAACACTTATTGGGTCCAAGCTTGTTGTAAGCATTCCAGTTTTCTGTTGCAATTTTGCAATGATCATGGAACCGGTAATACCATTTTCCTTCAGGATATAGAAGACGAGGCCATTGGTGGTGACCACCATACATCCCTTGTATCCAAGAAAAATAGCAGTCAGTTTGGGAAAAAGAAAGGGTTTTCAGATACACTTGAGAGGTTTAGAGAAAAAGCACAGCATTTCCAAAAGAACTTGCAACATTCAAAATCATGGTAAAGTAACAGTCATGCAAAAGATAGTTTTTTTATAAAGTGCATGGGTTAATCATCACCTGTCTTAAACTTGCTCTATAATGAGCCAGTGATGCCCTTAACTCATAGAGTGCCCCTGGTCTAAACATTATACGGCTGATTCATATTCGTCGAGTAGCAAATTGTTTGGAGCGGATCGCCCACCAGTTTTCACAAGACCGAGTAATATATATAAGACAAAGATATATAAATCATTCTCTGGGTGTTATTCTTCGTAAATTAAGGCCAAGGTTTTTTCTTCTATTTTCAGTCGCACGTTAAGATCGACTTACAAGGGAAAGTCACAATTTACATTGAACAGATCACATGAAAATAACGTCGTTCAAACTTCCTGTGGAGAAAATTTAGACGACAATTGTAAGTTGATTTCTCTACAGCCCGTAGACACACCGGAATCCGATGAAACAGAGAAAGGTAAACAGATGCTGCACGCATACAACCTTATATCTCATCTACTTATTTTTTCATTCGGACTATTTCATATCGGGTAAGGTGGCTTGTTCATGACAATTCGATATGATCATTTTGGCCGCTTTAAGGAAAGTGTACTAAATAATAACCAATCCTAACCATTCAACTCTATCTTATTTCTCCGCCCAAACTATAGATTTAGTCAAGAGTATTTGTAAGTGCTCTGCGAGATTTATTTTCGGACTTAGTTAATTCAAATGTGCGGTACAGACGATTCGAACTTAAACGCTTGGATATCAAGCAAGCTGTTTCAGCTGGAAATCTAAAGGTTTATATAAAAAACCTATATATTCTGAACAAGTCCATCAAAGTCCGTTATTAAATAGTTTTAGAAAACTCCGGTACCAGTGGACGTGATGTCGATTCCAGAATCGTTAACCTAAAAAACATTCTGACACTCACATGTACTGGTCTTACAATTTCGAAAGAAACTATGTGGTATAAAGCCCGCTTTCCAATAGGCAATTTATTCGTGCAGATTGATAAAAAGTAGAAAGCGATTCTTCTTTTTCGCGGCAAATTTTTTCGCAAACTAATCACCGCACCGCATTTCAGATATCGCATCGCGCAAATAAATTCGCCTGGTGGAAAACAGGCTTAAGGCCCACACACACTGGGCGCAACGCAACGCGAATTTTTGGGGGGTTTTTTAAGCAAAATAATTCAATTCTGGAGGGAAATTTTGAAAGCTATGGGCCCCAGACATGTCAAAGTATGCTATCCTTCAGTAATTATCAAGAATATCATAACATGATCAAACTTGCTTTTGCTGTTTTTTGTTGCTTTTGAAACCTCAGAAATTCGTAAAAATCGCGTAGCGTTGGCGGACCGTGTCAGTGAGTATCGGCCTAAAACGTTTGCATATGTACGCGTGATTTTCATTTATACTTTCACAGATCTTGTTCAACATGACATCATCGTATCTATTCCATGTACAAATGTTTACGATATTCACAAACTACCTAAGAACTCACTCGTGAAGGACCCGAGATTTTTTGGGTTTGGTGATGGCATTGAGCTCATGTGCAGTACTCTGCAGGTTTATAAGGTAAAGTGATTACCTTCTCTGGCGCTTTGCCTCTATATGAAAAAGCGTAGATGGCACCTTCTCTTTCACAGAATATGTATAATCAGAAGTATTACTAGGGATAGTTTTTCCAAAATGAACGCGTCATGCACACGCCATCACACTTGCCGGACCGATGGCTTCCTGGATTTCTTACCATTTCTGTTGTGTTTGGTAATATACTTATGACTTAATAGAGTATACTGAACTTAACAATAAAACCTGACAACACAATCAATTTGAACAATATCATATTTTGACTTGTCTCTTAATCAAATTGTTACCTACTATACGGGCAATTACGATGTCTCTAATGATTTATGTCCTATATAGTCGTATATAAATAGACATATTATAGTTTTAAAAGTTCTCAAGGTGAACTTATATGATATAGATAACAGACTATAGCAGAGCACGCCCTGATAGGTAGAGTGAATCTGACCTCTTCATTGAGATGACCTAGGTACTGCTACAGGCTACAGAAAGGTCCATATCAATTTCTAACGGTGAATTTTGAAAATCCTTTCATCTTATAGTTTTGTCTTCCACAAGGTTCTGATTACAATGCGGATAAACTCGCCGCAATATTTTCAAAGTATACAAAACACCTGGTAAGTTTTTTTTTATCAATCATTTAATAAGGTTTGCTAAGGGCGATAATATTTCGCGTACACATGCACGAGCAAACAAAACTTGGCAAGGAAAATTTGTCAAGGGAAATTCGTCCGTCTTTACGGGGCTTTATACTAGATTGCATGTAGACTATTTTTTGCTAAATTATATTACTGCACAGTTATCCGGTTGATTAACGAACTGAAATTTCTATTCTTATACATTTAAGCAGCAATGCAACTTAATTCAGCTCGGGTTTTTTTCTTTTACTTTTTGCCCTGATTAATTATGCTTTCTGCAGGACCGAAACTATAGATGTGATACTGTAATTGGGGGGGGGGATACATAATCGTATATCCTTTTGTCTGACAGATCTCTTTTGTATACGTATGCGCGTTTCCAAAAGAAATCCGTTGGGCAGAACATCATATAAACAAATTATCACCACCCCTTCCCGAATTATCGCCCTAATTTCGACCCTGCATGCTTTATTTATTTAGTATAGTATAGTTTTCCGACAACACTCACAACTGCATGCTGAAGTTTGATTACCATTTTTGATACAGCCAGTTTTATGTACATGTACTGACGTAGGAAATATAATCGGTAAAGAAACGTTCTTTATAATTGTCGAAAATTTACTGACAAGGAAAAACAAAATGCGTTTTCCGTAATCTCGTGCTAAAACCTTTACTCGCTGCGAACCATTAAACAACCATTAAAATGTGAGCTAGGCTTCAGTGATTTGATATTCTGAATATAAAATATATAAACTTTGTACATGTAGGCTCAAGACATAAGATTGAAATACAGTACTGATCAGTATTGAGTATTCAAACACCTCTTTTTGGCCCTCACAAAAAAGCATGACTATTTTTAGATTCTAGAGCGTCATATTATGCACTCCCTAGCAGTTTTAGGAATTAATTGATCACTCGCAAGTAGATTTATGACCAAAGATGTGGCATTTACCACTTCTTTTTTAAAATTCAATTAATGACTGTATTAATTTGATTGCTAGAACTTTTTCACTTTTCCTGAATAATCAGGCCTTTTAGTGCAAAGAATAGTTTTTAAGTGCATAAATTTTTGAATGAGTATAAAACATTAATTATTCAAAACCTGACAACGTGGGTCTTTTAGTGTTGTAAATTACCACGTGCAGATATTGACTGAGATTAAGAGAACCTATTCCAAATACTTGTAGACCAGGCATACATAAAAATGGGTGGAAATAATTTTTTTAAAATGCTAAAATGTTTTGTTATTTTTTTGACCGGCCATAATTTGATTGACAATGAAAACTATACATATCTTACTGGCCCTATTCGATCTTTATTCAAAAATACAAACACTTTACTATTCATTCTTCCTAAAACATCGATACTCTCACAAATATCCTCCCAATTAAACAATTAAACTTAAAAAGGTAGTAAATGGCACTTGTTAGGTTACAAATGTACTTCCGGTTTAAAATAGTAAGTTAAAATAACTGCTGAACAGTGCGAAAAATCTCGCTCTGGAACATGTAATATTTTCATACAAATTGCTTTTGTTTTAAAGTAGATATGAGCATTTTCATGAGGGCTGTAAAAACTGTGTTTGAATACTTTTAATCAGTAATGTAGCTATGTCGAATTTTTTTCCTGTCGAACAATTTTATATATACTCGTGCAACTTTAGGGTTTTGAAAAACTCACTCGTGAGTAGTGCATGGCCTTGAAAGTTTTATCAGGAACAACAATCGTATACTTGTAATATAAATGTAGTATTATGTAGTATTTGAATTTAATCGCAGGGATTACCTTCCTAATATCCGCACTATAACCACGATCGCACTTGTCAGCTACCTTTGTAGCTCAATGGGAAGAGCATTGCATGCACCGGTGTCACGATCTCAGTCCTTCCCCGTCTGAGTACTCCCCTTGTAACAAGTGCGCATGTGCAGTCTAGGGGGATAACGTAGCACGGCGGGCTCAGTTCTCCCCCAATCTCAATGATCCCCCAAAAAACTGGATGAATATTAAAGCAGAGAAAACTGTTTGGGTAACAGGTAGCCTTGTTAAAATGTGTCACGCAGGGATTTCTTGTAATTGTGGGTAATTTTCTGTTGTATAAGATGAAATGAGCACAAAATTTCCTTATTTTAACAGTTTTTTGTGACTTGTGACTCCGCAGGAGGCCGAGCATGTTTGTTGATGATTAATCATTCAATTTTCAATCGTCTGTCTCATTCATCCCCTTCATTAGCCTCATAAAACATCAGTCAGTCTCACCCATCCCCTTTGACCAATATCAGTCGATCTCACTCGTGATCTGATATGTACTAGTTAATAAGTTGTTCAAAAATAATCAATTACCTGCACGAAAAAGTTTTAATGCACTTAGCTACACACTCTGCAGACTTATTACTTATGGGCATTGCAAAGGCTTCTGGCTTGAATTCAGTTGTGTCTGATTTCCACTCGAAATTAAGGCCCTTTGATCCTTATACCTTGTAGTAGTTTAGGCCTAATGCTTCTTGCGAGCAGAACCTAATTTGAACTGGCTTGCATTAAGTTCAGCTCATGATGAGCATCTAAACCGGCCTGAAATGTTACGCCACATCACGTCATCATGCAAACGCCTCTCACGACGACAATCGCATTCGTATATCCTACTTAAAACTTTAATATTTCATTGCCGATGTGATCATCCTAGCTACGGCCTTGTTTTTCTGGAAATGTGAGGCAGAAACAATGTACTCCCAGCCAAAGAAAGGTATACAAATATGCTGAAGAAAATGTAATGTTCATCAGGACTTTTCCTGGTGTAGCGTTGATTGATTTCTGATTAATTATTGATTATGAATTATTTAATATTATCATGCTAAATTGCTAAATCGAGTAACAGTAATGGTTATTGTGCTTGTGAATAATGTATAACTCTCTACCATGAATCTAAACGTATATTTTTGCACCCTTTCAAAATATTTATATATGTTTAAAAACATCGGTCACATATTGATCTGGAGGTATGCGATAGTTATTGTATAATTACATAAATCTGTTATCTGTGCATGCATGTGTTTCGTTTAAAAATTTAAAAATTTAGTTAAAAAATACCTCTTGCATGAAATCAATGCGATTTTGCTCTAAGAACGCATATAAAACATCAGGGGTCGGTTGTATCAAGCCTGTTTAGTATAGAAAACAAGTCTATCGTTTTATTCAACAAGCAAACTAACCTTAATACAAAGATACTGTTTACAACTACATATTCAATGTTGGATATCTTGTCACGTTGCCTTTGCTTGCTAAACCCAACATTGCCAAGGAGATGGGGGGAGAATATCGCATGACACAAGTAAGTTAATCGGAATGAAATGAAAATTATACTTCACCAACAGTGTTATTAACAGGTTTTGTCCATGATTGTATGGTGTTATTTAAATTTTACTTATCTTAAGCTAAACGGGCGTGATATACAACCGGTCCCTGCTGCTAACGTAACAACTAGCACCAGCAAAAAATTCCTCCAGCCCATCTAACCGTTTAGCAAACTTCTTATTCTTTATCAAATGCCTCTGATCACTGGGGCCGGTCGTACGAAAGCTGGATAGATCACGATCCACCGGATGATGTTTTTCAAACGCTCAAAAATTGGCTATTGTTTGGTATAACGTGGGTTAACCTTAGTATTCCAAAATTGAGGATTCGCTTTAATAATTGTTCACTGAAAATCTGTAGTTTCACTGCTTTTCGGACATTTTTATAACGCTTGAAAAAGTCACTCCTTCATTTATAACGCTACCCAGCCTTCATACAACAAGGCCCCGATCTATTTACATGGATCTCATGCATCTGAGGTCGGTTGTAGGAAAGTTGAATAGCGTTATCCAACGGATAGTGTTTTTCAATCGCTCTAAACTGCCCGTTGTTCAGTATAACCTGGATTTAACCTCAGCATTTTCAACTTGGGAGTTCTCCTCTTTCATAACTATTAGCTCAAATCTGTAAATGCATTGCTCTTTGAGAAAGCTATATGGCATGTGCAATCTCGTAACGAAATTCCTAATATAAAGAAGAAAGTCTTTTGTGACTTTAATGACAGAAGATTCCTTCGTTATTTTAGTCGCCTTCTAAATGGTTTGCAATCGCATATAGAGAAGCAATATCTCACACGCGTTCGTGTGATATTTTATATTCAAGAACATCACAGAATTTTTATGATTTTGAAGGTAAGCGGGTGTGGTATAAGCTGCCTTTATCAGATTTGTTACAAGATGTGTTATTTTTACGTGTGTATGTCATATCGACAGCAAATTCTGAACTGTGTTGATCCTTTACTATCGTTTTAATGCACCATATGTATATATTTTGTTTTTGTTTATGTTCACATTTAGTCGAGTTTCGACGCCTGGGTTTGCTGACATTGGATTGTTGGAGAGAATATTGTAAGCGTTCGTTATCAAGAAATTATTTTCAACCATCTACTTTCAGTAGTTTAATGATTTACTTTCCATGCATATAAGATAATAGAACTAAACAATGATAAACAGATTTTGCTCTTGCCTTCTTGGGGAATTCGGGGGGCTGGCTGCACAATTAACCGAAAATATTTAGATTTCCGACTCTCTGAAATTCCTTTATATGCGTTTTTGACCGTTGACAATAGTTAACTAGGAAGCTTAATCAAGTTTTACTCTTTTTTAAATCTTATTAGCCTTTCTCACGATGACGAATATGCCGCCATTTTTGGGGTACTTTTTTTCAAAACCGCAAGCGTGAGACCTCATAACGGCCACAGTCTTTAATTTTAGGCTGGAGTTACTCTTCAAATGCTCTGTTGATTCTAAAAAAAATGCTTTTCATGTTATTATAACTTTTTAAACCCGTTTGAGAAATTGAAAGTACCCCTAAAACGTCATCGTGAGAAAGGCTAATTAAGTATATTATTTTCCACCGTTAGCTGTTCAGTGCAAATTTTCCGGGCAGTCCCCAGATAAATCCTCTATGAACTTATTTCATTATTTTAGCTCCAAACGGTCTTTTAGAGACGAAGGCTCCCAAGAAAACTCTAATACCTCATGGAATAAGTGACGTGGAGATGAACAATATTATTACCTTTCATGGGTACGTTGATTGCTGAACAGGGACATACGTGACTGTGTTAACTAGGGGGTGGTGCAACCCCAAAGTTTTACCGACGAACACCTGTCACTTGATGCGCGTCTAAGAACGCAAATATAGCTTTTCAATCGCTTGGTGCAGGTTTAAAGATGATGTAAGGTCCGTTCTGCGCATCAACACATTCCATCAGTGGGGGGGCAACTTTTGGAATGTTAATGATATGCGATATTAGCGCGTTGTATTACAAACGGACAGTTCGGGAGCAGAATTATTTTATTTTATGTCGCAAGGCGAAGAGGCTCGAATTGCGAGTGACCAAAGATAAGGCTGCTAGAAAAAAGCAATATTGTGCTGAAAGGAGTGCCTCAAGAATTTATTTGTTAAATGAGGACACGAAATGGCGAGGCTATTTGTCGTCGCTACAGACGCTTTCTCGCTTGTTTTACAATTACAAATATATAAAGCTTTAAATAACGGATTATTTATAAACTTCACTTTATATTTTCTTCAAAATATAATATAAAATAAGCATATTCATAATTGAATGAGGTTGAACATGATATGAAGAATTATCAAGCCGAAATACCGACGTAGTAACATGCAAGAAAAAAGTCGTATCACACGTTATGACTTCACACGTTGGACATGACGATTTCACACATGCCTGTTAGCCAATCAGAGGCTGTGAATTCTTTTAGATAAATAATAATCTGCTTTATTACTTTCAAAAAGATATACCAACGGACGAGTAAGACGACTTGTCAAATTATCGGAAGAAACTAAACAAGTTGAGCAAAATTAAACTTTTTACCGTACTTTTTACTGACACTTGTGTGCTATTACCGGCCGCAACGTCGCGTTTAATCGACCACCTTGCCAAAACTGGTGTAGCAGGTCCTGTATACCCCCCCCCCTCCCATCGAAATTTTTTCGAACCTCGTTCCCAGGGTATCCGTTCTGTCCGCGGTATGAGTTGCACAAGTTCCAATTTCATTGTTTTGTTTTTAGTGACAGAAGTTTTCCTTCAATTTGTTGGAGAAATTCCGTGGACGGTACAGTTATGTTGCGGTGTGGCTCAGCATTGTATAGAAGGTATCATTGTATAATTAAGCATGACTCTTGTAAAGAAATTTAGCCGGTTGTATCAAGCCCGTTCAGCTTAAACGGCGGATAAGTTCAAAAATTAAATCACGTCTATTGTTTTATTCAACAAGCAAACAAAATGTTTTTAACCTTAATACAAATATACTGTTTACAACTACATATTCAGTGCATAATATTCAAGAGAGATGTAAGAGTGCTCAGGGGTGGATCCAGCACTAGTGCACTAATTTGCATTACAAAACAAAATGGCTATTTTTAGCAGTTTTCTTGTGTCATGCAAATTAGTGCACTAGTGCTGGATCCACCCCTGAGAGTGCTATTTAATTTTGACTTATCCGCCGTTTAAAGGGGCTTGGTACAACCGGCCCCTGAACAATTAGGCTATATTAAAGGAAACTGTTACCAACACGTATTTAGAACGTTCAGTTTGTCTCAATTGACCGTAACGAAAAAGATGGCGGCATGTACGTTTTACCAGAATGCATTGCGAGCATCAAGAATGATTTACTGAAAAAAGAGGGCACGAAAAACTCCTAATGACGTGAAATTTTAACACAGCGGAGAAAATGACTTCCTGTTTTATGCCTGTCCTTTAAAAGACGTCAGTTCGCTTTTTTAAACGATTTCCGACCGCAATGCATTCTGGTAAAATGTACATCCGCCATCTTTTTTGTTATCCACCCAATTTTATCTTATCATGACAGACAACGCAGTACAACTATGAATTAACGCCCAGTAAATAATACAAAATATGGCATATTAAAATTTCTTGGGTAACGTCTCATCACACTACAAGCGACGTATTATTCGCTGCGCTTGAATCGTTTTAACTGAATACGTTTTCCGCCTTGTGTTCTCTGCTGGGGCCGGAGAGCCAGATGATTTTTAAACAGTTCTAAAAATGCTCGAAAAGCGATCGTTTATCGCCGATAAGATTTCAGTCTTTAGAACCAACAATTATTGAAGAGGATCCTCAATTTAGTTTAGAAATACTAAGATTTAATCGTTTAATCAAAAGATTTAGCAAACGGGCGATTTTAATGCGATAGGAAAAATCACAATTCGGTAAATAACGCGCTATCCGGCTTTCATACAACCAGCCCTTGATAACATATATTAATGTTTCAAAACAGTTTAGAGTCAGAATTATCAGAAGAAATGTAGACTTTTTTACATGATGTCAAGTGTGACAAATTTTCTGAGGGACAAATTAACGTTGCATAAATTTTGCAACATTCTCATAAACTCAATATAACCATGTCTATTTTCCAGAGGCATATTTGAGTACAGATGCGAATCAGATGAAAACTTTTTGGCTTCAGTTTGTTTTCAGAACAAACAGTCAAATGGCGACAAAATGGTTATTTTCACTGAGCAGTAAGTTAAATGATTACTCTTGTTATTAAACATTAAGAAATGAACATTGAAATAATTAGGAGAAATTAACTATATCCTTTTTAGGAGCCGTACGAACTCTACTAGTCTGTTGACTACCCCAGCGCAGCAACTTAGTGGTCAAATCACACCGAAACAAGGAGAAGGTAGAGTATATAACTTCACTGAATTACATAAAGGTGTTATATGAACAGCTTACTGCAGTGATAGTGTCGTTGAGATTAGGCGACTGTTTATAACCTATAAACCTATCTCAATCACGTCGTAACGATATATTGTTAGATATTCCTGAAGCGATGATGCATCAGACAGATTGTCCACTGTTTTAAAGACCTTTGTGTCGTTCCTGCCTCGTACCCAGGCGCTTTAATATAGTAAAATATAAAACGTTGTATTCAGTTATTGTATAGAGGTCAGCTGATAAAAGGCTAGCGCGCGGGGGGGGGGTGCTTGGGGTGGACAATAACTGAACGCAACGTTAAACATTTTACTATTAAAACGCCTGGGTACGAGGCTGGTGTCGTCCACAAAGGTTGCAATGCTTAATTTGTCCACGAATTTGTACTGAAATTAGTAGAAATGCAAAGTTTGGCTGCGAAATGTTGGAGAATGTGGAAAATATAGCCTTGCTCTTTTCAGCCGTGGTTGCATTTCGTTGCATGGATAAAAAAGTAGTCTATAATGCAAAAGGTCTATTGAGCCTTGCGGTACGCCAGATGTCACCGCTAATGGTTTTGATATTGCTCCACCAACTGCTGTCTGTTGATAACGATTGGTGTGATGAAAACGAGTTTGGAATGTTACCTCGAAATCCGAACTCACATAATCGCTGCAAGAGTTGATCGTGACTTACGTCTATCTGGTTACCGTGATAAAATTTTCGCGGCCTATCTGTTCGAATACTCAATCAGTTGTGTCACGCATGACTTTCGACGGGCAAATCCGTGTTGAGAAGGGTTTATTTTTTGAAAAAATTGATTTTCGATGCTGTGAAACACGCAACGTTCGAGGACTTTAGAGACAAGAGGAAGCAACGGAATTGGACGGTTGTTCTCTACGTACGATTTGTCACCGCGTTCAAATACAGGCACGACATTTCCTAACTTCCACTCATTAAGAAGGGCACCACAACGTAAGGTTTCCGTCAGCCATCGTGCTGGGATTCCGTCCGGACGTTGAGCTTTATTGTTATTCAACTTAGACTTAGTTAACACCGTTGTCATTTCTTCGTTAGTCAGTGTAATGTCTTCGACAATAATGCCCGGATGTTGTTCTGGATTAAAGTCGTTGGCGGTGTCGCTTGTGAAGTATTCGTTAAAAGTGTCCGCAATCTCAGCGTTATTATCGAAATACATTCTTTCATTTTCGTTAGTTTTGGCCGAAACTTTTACTGGAACATTTGAAACTTTGGACTTCCAAAAAAACGGATTGTATTCGCGAGAACATGTGGAGTTGTATAGTCCAAGCGACCTTCGCGCTTTTGACTGTGGTGCAGAGCTCTCGAAATCTGTACTTGAGACGACACATGAATGAGACGAATCACTTGGACGACAGGATCTTTCAATCCTCGTTCTATTGGAGTTTTTGATGTAGTGAAGTATCGTGCTGTTCATCCAAGGGAGATGGTTTCGACCTCGGAGTGTTTTTGTTGGCACAAATTTCGATACTGCATCCAAAAACGCATTTTCCACCCCATCCATATAAATGAATATCAGTCCTCGGTATTTCGTACAAATCGCCCCTAAGAGTTGTTCTGAACATACAGGCCTCGATCTCAATTAATACCTATTAGTTGATTACTCGGAGAAAGCTAACTTTCTTTCAAAACCTTGGCTCTTCTCTACATATAAACAATTAAAGCCCGTTTTCCACTAGATGAATTTATTCGCGCGAACAGATAAAAAGTAGGAAACGATTTTACTTTTTTGCGGCCAATTTTTTCGCAAACCAATAACATCACTGGATTTCAGATATCGGTTCGCTTCGCGCGAATAAATTCACCTAGTGAAAAACGGGCTTAAAGCAATGTAATATTAGCCGTAAGTACATGCAGCTCAGACCCTGGGTATTTATAAGGAGACATATTTCTAGTTACCTAAAAAGGATTAATGCGCTGAGTTGCATCCAAGGTTCTCTAGTTACAGCTATGTGCACACGAGCATCGTTTTCGAGAGTTTTCAATACAATTTTTATTTAGTTTATCGCTGTGACGCCCTGTCCACGCGATCTCAGGGAAAATATGCTTAATGTGTTAAATTATCTTCAACTTCTATTGTAAATTGACAGTGTTTGAAATGAAAACGCTCGAAAACGTTACCGTGTGCACATAGTCTGTTAATGGTTGTACCCATGCACTGTTCTATTGTTATAGCTTTTTGTTATCCTCACGTGAAGTTTGTTTACACGGACAAAGAAATCATTCCAGATCACAAAATTGTTAAGCAAAGTTCAGTTAAATTGCAAACACTGTTGGCTGCAGAGTGGTGAGTTTTATACTGTATTGTCCGTTGCACGGTCAAAATGCCCGGTTCTAAACAACAGCTTATTATCGCAATATACGGAAAGCATGTAACGAAATCCAGAAGTCGAGGCAAACGAGAAAACACGAAAGCGAGGCAAATGCCACACAAAAATCTCAAAACGATATAGCATCCAGCCGTGATGTCACGATTAGGAAGGGTTCTCCTTCGTCGAACGCAAATACATCTCTCTCGGAAGTTTACTGCACTTCCGTTGTCACATTTTAGGAAATTGAACATGCGGGCCTCTGTTTGCAGTTGTACAATGGTAAAAACAAGCAAGGTCTCTTCACAAAAAATCTTATTTAGAAATCTTGCCTAAACTGTGCTTTTTCCTGCGTCCATGGTTTCGCGATTGGCGTATTTTGACAATAGTTACTAATTTTTCGGGGGTCAATACATAATTATATAATAACGTAAAGAATTCAAGCAATTTCATTGGTCGAGAGCCATGATCTATAAGAGGACAGACGCACGGAATGACGTCACAGCAATTTTCTTGGGGTTTTTTTGGGTTTTTTTTCAGTTTTATTATATAAAACAAATAGATTACAATGAACCGTTGTCTGTTCAGTTATAGATACACGGTATGACGCCATATGTGATAAGAACAAAAGAGTGACCACTCGCCCCGGCGGCTCGTGGCCACTTTTTTTGTTCTTATCACATATGACGTCATACCGTGTATCTATAACTGAACAGACAACGGTTCATTGTAATCTATTTGTTAAATACATAAACTTATTTGGAGCGTTAGTTTTGTTAATCAGTGTCGTAAACCTGGAGATTGATCTTTCTAACCTCTAAGAATGTATAAGTAAACATAAAAATAAAAAGCTCAAAACAGAAAATAAACTTGTTCCAGAGGCCTAATAGTTGGGGACCAATCATCTTTTGCGCGCCGGTAGTTAAACGTTCCAGGTTTTGAAATGACAACCTTGAATATATATATATATATATATATATATATATATATATATATATATATATATATATATATATATATATATATATATAAATAAACGCTCCAACTTTCTATTCTATGCCTTCTTTTAGCGATGATAAAACGTTTCTTTCCGATCTTGCTGAAACTCAATGGCTTTCACAGATTAGTGAACTACTGGAAACCACATCGTTAGTTATCACCGCCATGAGTGCAGACAAGCTATCTGTTTTGATTAGTTATGAATATGGCTGTGACCGCACTGCACAGGTGAGGAATTTTCATGACTAAGTTCCGAAATCTTGAAATTCCCCATATTTTTACGTTTCTCTTTTAACTGCATGTAGTTAAGGACAGAATTGGCCAATCAGAGTTGCGTATTTCTGAGTTAACTAGGATTTAACTATGCAGAACGTAGTTAAAGAGTTTTATACAACTGGGCCCTGCATTATAAAAATGAGTTGACTAAAATTTGCCTATAAGATCGTGTGTTACCATGCAATTATATTTATTTTGTGATTCTACCCTAGGAAAAGCTATACTATAAAAAATATCATATTAATATCATAAAAAATATCACAAAAAATCACTATTGAGTATTGACGTGCACGTGTCATGACACTTTCCATGTGCATAGTAGGTGTACGTTTGTTTAACTCCCACACACTTTGAAAAATAATCAAATTCATCGTATTATTTCGTATATATCAACCTCTTCCCCAGGGCCTTTTGGGACTTTATATGGGGAGAGGAAAGGGATCGGCCGTTCAAAATACCCATATGCATTTCGTGGGTTTTGAATAAGCATAATTAATCATAAAATTTTCTCTAATATTTTCAAAATGGCGGCGTCACGTACAACGGATAATATTGTCGCATTAAAGCACATTGGAATTGTACTATTTCGGAATAATTACAAACTGTTCCGCTAATTACATATAAATTAGGAAAAATCATTTAACCAATCAGAATTCAGAAGCGGTTGGCCGATCTCATGGTCTTTTACCCCAACCCAGAGTGAAGGTAAAAGGCTTTGAAAGAGGTTGCGTGTATATGATTACGTTTTTGCATTATTTTATCTTCAACAGTTGTCCAGTTTGTCTCAGTTACTTCTTGATCCGCATTACCGCACAATCGATGGCTTTCAGGTAAATTTCAGATGGCCTTTGTACAACGTTTTTGATGCGAATTGGCGGTCGAAATATCGTCATATTTTGGTGTGTATCTCTTTCTGACTCTATCTCACGGACAAAATCTCGGCACAGAATAGAACAGCCAATTAGAACATAAAGCTGACGAACCGCAGCCAGTAACTGATTAAATATACAGCACTGGGTTACACAGTGAAATGACTCTATACTGTTCACTTCCTACTGTGATCTTTGTTTAACCGTATTCGGTTTCAGATTCTGATACAGAAAGAATGGCTATCCTTTGGTCACATGTTTGCGGAACGATGTATATCTCCGAAATCTGATGAGGGACATGGACCTATATTTTTACAATGGCTTGATTGTGTTTGGCAGGTTTGATCGATTATTTTACTTGTACGTTTACGGTTTGATTACGAGTTCGTAACAATTGATTATTTTTTTATTTACTCTCCCAGCTTCTGAATCAATTTCCTTATTCGTTTGAGTTCAATGAGGGACTTCTGCAGGTATTTGAAGGCTTCGTTTATTACAATTCATGAAATTCATGATTTAGGGACTTTAATAAATGAAAAGCAAAATCCATGTGCATTGATGCGAAGAAATTGCTCTATATTGTCACGTTTCTGTTGTACTTTAAGCACATTAAATAAACCTTTGCCAGCTGGTAAATTATGCAAAAGAACTGATAGCTGAACCAATTTGTCTTCAGACATTTGCCAATTGCAATTTTTGTTTGATGTACGCGCTGTTCTCTTTAGTTTTTTCATGTTATATGTAGAAGTGAATGTTTATAGAGACATCTTTAATAACGGTTTGGAAAAGAAACTTTAACAATTGTAACACGCAGTAGTAGAGGGTATCAAGTAGGCATGCTTTTCTTTTCACGGGAAACCTAAACGGTCCAATTGCATATATTTCCGTACAGACTGGTTTTTTGGACTGTTTCAAGAACTCTGCATTTAAGTATATATCGTTATTTACGTCTGCCCAACACGAAGAATGGAGTTTCACCGCTACATTGTTAACGGAATACTCGGTTTGACCATTTTGGCCGCTTAAAGGGAAGCGTCCAAGGAAACCAGTGATTTCAATGTTTTGGTTAACATTTATAAAAACTGAAAAAGAATCGCTAAAACTAACCGAGCTTTGTTCTTTTTTAGACTATTGCAGACCATGTTTATTCCTGTCGATTCGGTACATTTTTGTGTGATTCCGAGCAACAGTTTCAAGAGGAAGAAGTATGTTTAATGTTTGGGGCGCCAATAATTTGGCGGTAATATAGTTAAGTTTAGCGTAACTTAATCATGTAAACCTCGTAGTGTGACCATAATATGCAATTTTTTAACCAAAAATGCTCATCTAGTTAGAACACGTCCTCCTATATTAATAGCTGGTATAAATTTATTACTAATATCAGATGTTTTATGTGCATCCGACCGAATCTTAAAAATTACCAGATCTGATCACACTGGTAAACCTCCCGTAATACAAACAAATGCCTTGTCTACACTGCATTGGCGTTGAGAATTGAGGAATTCCTAAATCACCGGAGCTTTGAATGTTTTGAGCAACCTCATACCTAGGGTAATTTCGCTGTGTTATAAAGGACTATGGACCTGGAAGGGCTATGGACCAGAGGAAAAGACCCTTGGTACGAGGTTGTGTTTTCAGCTGGGCTGATCGCACTTAACCCCACCTTAAAATTTGTGACGTTATTGCATAGTAAGCGCAAAGAATTAAAAGATGCTTATTTCGTAATATATTGTATTTTACACCGTAGCATTTGCTCTACACTGTGCTAAGGAAGATTTAGCAGTAACTACAAGTACAAGAGTATACAAGATTTGTCATTTTCAGTCCAAGCCTACGCTATCTGACAAACTCGTTGGACTAATGGGCTTTCGAGTGCGAAATTTATTAAAAAACTCGTACTCAAAAGCTCCGCGACTACAAGTTTTGCCTGATGACGTAAGCAAACAATGCGCAAAAATGGCGAATCTTTCACAAACGAAGAAAATTAACGTTTCTGTGATCACATTTCAAATTTTGCGTGGGTAATTTTAAGAATATAGCTACCTCACGATTTTGCTGTAAATATTAGAGGTAACTAAAACAGTGATTAACAATTTAAGATTAAGTTGTTTCATACTGATATTTTTTCAAATTCCTTACGACTTGCCCATTAGGATTCTGAATATGATAACAGGAACTAGGAACCAACATTGATACGGGGGAGTTTGGAATTTACATACATAGGCCAGATTTTCAAGATTTAGCTATTAAACAATTGTTGACAACTAGTGCTGTCCGCATCAATTATGTCCGCGGGGTTTTAGTTTAGGCTTTTCTTTGGCCAGTAGGATTGTTTGGCCCGTAATAAGTGTATTACTGGCCTAACTACCCTTCTGGCCAAAAGTGGGTCTCAGCATACCTGATGCGATATATGTACACACCCTAACCAAAAACTCTGGACCGTCTGTAAGTCTCTCCAAGTCAGTGTTATCTGCATGTGGCACAAACACTTTGAATCTAAACACATTAACAAGTTTTAGTGAAAAAAGACTGTCTATAAATTGTCAGCCTGGGAATTGACTTAAGAACTTCTGTTCGACACAACTTGACTTTTCTCCGTAATAGATTGATAACAAAACTCTGTCGTTATGGACCTGGATCAACCTAACTGTCATGGCCGATCCGGAAAAGTTTATCAACAACAACTACATGAAAACCAAAACAGAAAGGTCAGTGCGTGATTATACAGAGGAACTAGGCGGCGTAAAAACCCGGGCGAAAAAAGAGGACTGTGATCATTTACTTTGTTGGCACTAATGAAACGAGAAAATACTCTAGCTACGAATAAGGAATTAACAGCTTGCCGGGTAGATATTGAAGCGACATTTTGCTAAGAGATTCGAAAATTTTCGCTAACCAAAAAATCGTATTCTTCTTTTACTAGGATACTCATACCACGATACCATATTCCTTCGTTAAAAGTTTGGGAATCCTATTATGCCACATCAAAGTTTGAGGTACAACACAATATTATTTATATAGGCCATTTAGCGAAAAAGCATCATACAAAAAACGTTAGACACCTGGTGGACATAAAACACTCACAAAGTCAATGTTATAACAAAGAGGAATTTCAATCAGCAAATTTGTTTACATTTTAGTAACCCAATCAGAATGCATAAATATGAACTAGTTCTTGTGAAAAGGTACATTATTGACCATTTTACATGAAGTAGTAAAAATGTAGGCATTCTGATTTGCTTAGACACTGATTGGCTGAAAAATGTAAACGAATTTGCTTACTTCCTTCTTCGATGTTATGTGAAGCGATTTAATTCATTTCACAAACTATTTAGAATTATAAATTTAAACTAGCTCTCACGCCGTCCTCGCTATACTAAAATAAAAATAGCGGGGTATTCCAAATTTGGCTAAAAACACCTAACTATAGCTTCGTTTTCGTAGAAAAGGTTTAGGGAAAAGTTTAAGTAAACGATGTTGCAAATGTTGGCAGGAAGAAATCTGACTAGCCTGTGGGTTTAAATCGACACTTTTTTATCTTTTAGCGTGTTGTGTTCGTTTCAGCTGCAATAATATGAATAATATTTCTCTACACTAGGCGGGTTTGCAAGAGGCAAAACAAATTGCAAAAGAACAACGAAAACTACAGGAAGATTTATTTGCGGTGAGATGTGTATGCATAAGAATGTCGAAGTTTAAATTTCCAGGGATTTCTCCTATTCCATTAACAAGGAGGAATTTCATTTTGAACTACTATCTGAATTTGTTTACATTTTTCAGGCTAAGCCAGACATGCAATGTCTAAATTTTATACTTCTTGTAAAATGGTTGATAATTTACCTTTTACCGAAAGTAAATCAATTATGATTTTTGGCACTTCACTCGATGTAGGTAAATTCTAGAGGTTGAAAGGGTCTTTATTTCGAGTGGAATTATACACACTTCAAATTCAAGCCAGGAACAATTGATGGAAAAATGAGTCGACTACGCTTTTGCGATGCCGGTGGAATGCTCTTGCCACTGAGTGCCTGAGTGTCTTAATTTCGAGTGGAATTAAATATATAATCGAGTGGAATATATGTATAATCGAGTGCATGAAGTGATGAAAATCCTAATTGATTTACCCTCACCTATTCCCGGCATTACCATCATATACACATTAACCACGCTTGCTCTTGTCAGCTACCTCTAGCTCAGTGGCAAACTGAAAATGTGAACAAATTTGCTGATTCACCTAAAACGAAATTCCTTGTTTTTCAAGGAAAAACCAATCAGAATGCCTTAATGTTTTAAAACTTCATGTAAAATGGTAAATAATGTACCTTTTTCCTGGAAGCAGTCAATATTCATGCATTCTGATTGGGTTACTAAAAGCGTAAACAAACTTACTGGTTGGCAGGGGCGTAACGCGACTTTCTTAATTGGGTTGTACAACCCCAAGTTTTACCGATGAACACGTGTCACTTGAAGCGTGTCTAAAGAAAGCATATGGCTAAGCAATGAAAACCGACTGTTTTTACAATATGTAACGCGATAGGAATTTGTGGCTTAAATGCCTCAAATTATACGCGTTTTAGAAGTATACATATTTATTGATTCGACATTACATGCAAACTTTGAGAATCTGTTTTAACGATTTCGTCAACAGACGAGTGAGACGACTTGCCAAATTATCGCGAGAAACTAAGCAAGTTGAGCAAAGTTGTACTTTTTACCATCACTTGTGTGCTATTACCTACCGACGTCGCGTTTATCCGACCACCTTGCCAAAACTGGGGGTGTAGCGCACCCCTCACACGCCTCCAGGGTTTTCTGCCCTAATTTGCGTGTAAAGACCAACACGTGTAGACTCTTATCGTATTTCTCAAATTTTTAAAATAGAAATACATTTATTCCAGAATATGCTTGACAAACACCAGGACTTATTACGCAAGAGGTCCAACATCCCGGATGATGGTCAGAATTCGGAATCCTCAATCGAATATGATATATCATGCATCATAACAAGTGAATCAAAAGAGGAACTTTTTACGGACGTGGCAGAAAGGTTCGAAATCAAAACAGGCTCCCTTAAGGCGAAAAACGTTCGTAACAATAACAGTATGCGGTCAACGGAAAGCAAATCGCTCGACAACTTACTACAGAATCGTCGTCAAGAGACAGATAGTAAAATAAAACGTCGTTTTGGTTCGAGCAAATTCTATGTGAACAAACCAACCCGGAAAAAATTTTTTGATACAGGTATGTGATAAACGGTATACTTAGATATTATATACGTATATTGGGCTGTATTGGGTCAGATGATACCAACACACTTCTGTAGAGCTATAGCAATTATTATAAGTTAAACATCGTTTACCAGTGAAAGAGGTCAAGTGTTTTTCTAACTAGAAAACTATTTTGAGAATCGGAAATCGCTACTACACGGCCAAAAATTGATCAGGTTGTCGCATCAGGAGTGAACAATGTTGTGCTGCACCCTGGGAACAGTATTGTTAACAATGTTGTTGAAGCTTGTTGAATCATCAATGTTGATGCAATGTTGTTGCAACAAGTTGCAACAACGTTGATGATTCAACAAGCTTCAACAACATTGTTAACAATACTGTTCACAGGGTGCAGCACAACATTGTTCACTCCTGTTTTTAACAACTTGCATCAACATGATGATTTTTACGTGTGTAGGCCAATGTTGTCCATATTTTAGGGCCTTAAAAACAACTATATACTGTATATAGTATTAAATATTATTGAAATAGATATTGGCAATCGAAATAGTCATTTATTTAATTTACCGAACAGCAAAATCATCATTTTTATGTTCTAATCATCATTTTTATATTCTAATTCTCAATCAATCTTTTTATACCTAACAGCTCTGGCAGAATTTCGCGAAGACAAAACCGATGAGACTGACTCGGGAAAAAAATCTCGAATGTTCAATGGTTTATGCGATTATCTTGATCACAAAGGTCAGATTTTATGTTTAATGCCGTATACAAAACAGACATATTCGCTATTTTCACTAAATCCCATGATGCTGTGCGCGCGCATTCCTTGGGGTACTAAATCGCGCCAAAATCAAAACAAAATGTCGCCATTTTGATTATTCACCTCAAGGAATGCACGCGCACAGCATCATGGGATTTAGTAAAAATAGTGAATATAAAAATTAATGTTTATGTGTCGTAACATACTTTCAACTCCCTATATTTATCCCCTATAAATATATACAAGGTAATATCTTACTTAAAGTCGAACCAATTTGAAGACGAATTTTGTTTAATATTTTAAAATGTTATTTTTATAATATTGTATTTCTATATCTAATGTCAATTATGTGCTTTGCGCGTGTTTACCTGAATTTTAGAATAATTAAGAGTAATTAAGTGCAACGAAAATAGTTTTTTAAAGTAGCCTAAATAGATTTTTAAATAAGTGATTATTTAAAACACTAAATTTTGTAAACCCAACAACTTGGTTCTTTCGGTTGTGAATTGTAAACATTTGACTACGATTAATAGAACCTATTCCAATTACATGCAATTACAAGTACTACTGAGTTAAAATGAATGAAAATCAAATTTTAAATTAACGTTGAATTTTTTTTCAGAGTGTATTTTGATCCACATTGAAAACTATCCTTCTAATGGGAATTATTTTATGTTTTTAAATAACTGCAAACATTTTACTATAAACTTTCTCTTCAAACATTATTAATTGATACTCTCGCGTAAATACTGCAATACCGTAAATACCTATGGCTATATTATCAAAGTAAGTCGTGGTAGAAGTTTAAATTAGCCAATTATATCTTACGTCTCTCTATGACATCCGCAATTGATATATGATGATTAAGATGGCAATTTTATTCATCAACCCGTTTTAGGAATTGACTGGCGAAGTGAGAAAGATATCGAAATTACCCCAATAGTTTGCTGTGGTTTCTTAACCAAAAGAGGATGTAAGTTATTTAAATCATCAGCAAAACGTTACATGCATGAATCCTTTCATTGATCCATTCCATCAAGTACTTGTTGGGTCAGGTCTCATTTGTCGTATCTATTTGTATTCCAAGTGTTGTGAATCCGTATACTTCGTAGGAAGAGTGGGGTTATTCAAATGTACTGTTCTTAAGATGCATGTACTGGAGGTTTAATGTTTTGTAAAGGTTTAATATCTGATTCAAATTCTTCAGCGAAGTGCTCAGTCTATTGTGAATAATTATTTTGAAGAAATTCCTGGTTTCCGCTTTACCACACTTATTTTAAGAATTGGCAATCTTAGGGGCTGTTCACATGAGAACGGTTATCGAGATTTAACGAAGCGTAAAATGGACTTTGTGGTATTGAAATGAGTATTAAATAACATGACATGGGCCTTCATCAGTGCAATATTGGTCCCCGGGTTAACGGACCGAAAGCTTTGCAGTATTAAATACTTTAATACGTGGTGTACCTACAAGCTTCACCATGCAAACTTACAAGAATGTGATATAGGTTTTATTGCAATTATCTTTTGGCATACAGGGCATTTAGCCCGGTTACTTAGATTTAACAAAGCGTAAATTGGACTTTAAAGTATTGAAATAAGTCTTTTTGAAACAAAACAATCACTGAATCACATATTAATTTACTTAAAACCTATATCGTCTGGTTGACTGAATGTTAAATCGTAAACCATCGCCGCAGTTTCCGATTTTTAATTTACCACAGAAAATGGCAGGGCCTTTTTTAACATATATACTGGGGGGCCAAGGCCCCCCCACCCTCCATGTTGCCCCCCCCCCCAGTTCACTATTTTGGCCCCCCAGTGAAAATCCCCTTTTTGAAAGATATTAACAAAAAATGAAGAATATTGAATAATAATTTAGCTCTGCGACAGTGTATTACTATTAGCACTCTTGTATTCTGTAACCCAACCTTTGTCGAATGTAACTCGACGAATGTTATTTGTCGAGACAGTCGAGCACAAAAACGGCTTAAATAGACAAATAGATTCATCAATGATCAATCATTTTTCTGTTGTAATGTACAATATTTCAAATGCATCTTTACCTTTACAAATATACATGGATATTTGAGTGTACAGAGATTATCCAGTTTAAAGAAAATACTCTTCAGACTGGAAAATACACTAAACTGTCAAATATACACTCCATTACTCCCTGTTGATATTGACACACATGTTGTACCTTTGATATTACTTTTGGTAAGACGTAAGTTAACTTTATATTTTTTGTGCGTTTTCCATATTTTTATCTGAGATACAAATACAGTTTTTAGAATAAATTTGAAGGCTAAGAATATAGGAAACGGCGTTTCTTGACTATACTGATTTCAAAAATCTCCCGGGTGCCCCCTAGCTTTCGGCCATGATCGACATTCCTGCTTCTTTCCGCTAGTGGGGAAGCCCTTTTTTGCCAATGGCCCACCCACTCGAAATTTCTTAAAAAAGGCCCTGGAAAATGGATATTGGTATGTCAGACATCATTAATCAATGATAATGTTCGTCACTGAATACGTATATATTTTTGGTGCAGTTAGCGTAGGAAGTCACGATAATAGATTTTTTTCATAATGACGTCAAACGCGGAAAGACTGATCTTACACGAAATTTAATTGGCTCGATAGTTTTATGGAGCCAATCAAATTTCGTGTAACATCCGACTTTTCGCGTTTGACGTCATTATAAGAAAGGTCTATTAGAGGGAGCACATTTCTTAATATCATGTCAACTGACTTTAAAGACAATCGATTTAAAAAGAAATTGATCATGCGGAACATGAATATGTTTCCCCTACCCCCCACAATTATCGTGCCTCTATAACTGTGTTTCTCTTCAATAAACCTTTGTGTTTCTCTTCGTTTAGTTGTTCGAAAGAACTGGCTGCCTCGGTGGTTTAAATTAGATCTACGAAAAAATTGCTTAGCCTATTTTGAAAAACGTGAGGTACGTAGCATACCCAGACTCCCAGTTTAGTTAAAGACTTGGACACATAGTCATGTGTTAAAATCGTAAAAAACAAGTGAAAAATGTAGCGTTTTTCTTGTTGCATTCTTCTCTTCGGGGTCCCGTCGCTATTCAATGACTCCTCTGACTCCTCCATTCATAATTAGAAGTATTCTGACTTTACTAGAATATATAGATGCTGTTCACATAACTGTTTTATATTTGTTTCCGCTAAAATTCTTTTAATTCTATGATTTGAATATATATATATATATATATATATATATATATATATATTAATATATAAATCTTCTTCAGATTATCTAAATTATTCACATATGTCTAGCTTTATATACAGGGTGTCCCAAGACCCAAATCCCAAAAAAAAAACGCAACACTTAAATATGCAAGAATATTAATATTGTTCGGGTTTGCACCATAGTTCAGCTAAAATGACTTTTAGCATTGTAAATGAAGGATTAAGAGCCATTTTCAATTCCCAGAGGTGCTTATCTACAGGGTGTCCCAAAAAAACCGAAAACTATTGAAATCACTCATTGTTAAAATTTGAATGCCGTGTTCACGAATTTCAACCCGTGGGGATTTCATGCAACTTATAAAATGCTAAATGCTTTGTGTTGCTAGAGAAAGGGGACATAGCGAAGGTCATGGTCCTTGAGATGCACATTTGAATAATGTTATCCATATTTGTAAATTGTAAATATTGTTTTAAATATCATTTTTGCGAACAAGCAAATTTGACTGCATCATATGTATGCATAAAAATCCTTATGGCAACCCCGATTTATACACTTGTGGGCCAACAGAGTGCTTAGGCATTCAAACTCTAACAATGGCATTGTTATGGGTGATTTCAATAGTTTTCGTTTTTTTTGGGACACCCTGTACAGGGTGTCCCAAAAAAAACGAAAACTATTGAAATCACCCATAACAATGCAATTGTTAGAGTTTGAATGCCTAAGCACTCTGTTGGGACCCACAGGTGTATAAATGTTTACCATACTCATTTTTACGCATGATTTTACGTAAAATTTGCTTATTCACAAAAATGATATTTATTAATCAACCATATTTACAATTTTCAAAAATGGATAACATTTAGATGTGCATCTTAAGAACCATGACCTTCGACATATCCCCTTTCTCTAGCAACACAAAGCATTTAGCATTTTATAAGTTGCATTAAATCCCCACGGGCTGAAATTCGTTAACACGGCATTCAAATTTTAACAATGAGTGATTTCAATAGTTTTCGTTTTTTTTGGGACACCCTGTATTGCGCTTTAGAGCTGTATTAATGTTCTGCACATTTAAGTGGTTGCTTTTTTTTGGGACACCCTGTACAGGGTGTATAACTTAATATTCATGAATATCTTCTTTGTTCCACAACACAAAAGACGCTTGACCCCTGGAATGAGAGAAAGCTTGTAATCATATTCTAGCGGCACAATCGTCGGTAAACAAAGTCGGGTGCGTAAACCAACGAGCTGAATTGAAAGTATTTAACGAATAAAATTTTATTTACAATTTATTTTACAAGGTCGAAAGTTAGCATTTAAGTTATCATGCACGACAATAAAAACTCGTTGTTCGGTTATTAGCTGCACCATTATTAGTTTAGCTGATTTGACTATTAGCAGTTGAACTGTACGATTTTAAAATCCCAGGGGCATAAAATCTATTGAGCTTATGAACAATATGAATTTTAGAGTATTAAGTGGTTGCGTTTTTTTTGAGACACCCTGTATATTCAAGTTTCGCGCTGCTCTTTAAGACTCGTATACGTTGAGAGCGTCTGATTGGTTGTCTTGAAGTTGATCTGATATGAGTGGTAGTGGAGGGATGCGTTGTCATGGTTGACTGCATCTCGTTGTCAGGGATGGTCGCTGTGGAATGATTAGATTGTTGTGTATCAGATGCGGGTGGATTTAAGTTATTATTAGTTATATTAATGTGATTATTAATAGAGTCCTTACTTTTGTCTTAAGTTGCAGATAGACTGCAGGAATGTCGATATGTCTGTTAACAGTATTGTCGTCTGTACTAAACCAAGCTTCTTTGAATTCACGTGCGTGTTTTGTTTGTGCTCGTCCCAGTAGTTCAGTTTTTGTCCAGGCGAAGGTGTGTAAGTTGTCGTATATGTGTACTGCGGCTAGGGATTTAAGGTCGTGTCGTTTTATATAGCGTTCTTGTGTTCAGTTATTCGGGTTTCGATTTTCTTCGAGGTTTGACCTATGAATTAAAGTTAAATTATATCTGTCGAAAGAAAAATTAGAAACGTGTCGTGAATCAGGTTTATTTTCAATCAAATGAAGATCTGAGAGACCAAGAGCTACCCCTGCAAAGGAAGATGGAAAGACCTTTGACCCCAACCATATTATAGGATTTGATACAATTGTTCTAATATTTTGTATAACTTTTTTTCGGTTCAAAATAGCCTTCACTTTTTCTGGCATAGAGTTTTGAACCAGTTTTGCTAGCACTACCAGTTCAATTCTATTCACACATTAATTAAGGACAGTCCACTGGTTTTCCTTATACTTTCTTTCCACCTTCCCTTGCAGGGGTAGCTCTTGGTCTCCCAGATCTTCATTAATTTGATTCAACCTGATTCACGAAACGTTTCTAATTTTTCCTTCGACTCATATAATTTAACTTTAATTTTCCGCAGATACATCCCTTCATTGTTGATTTCTGGCCCCTCTTTCCTCCGCTAACCAGTTTTGCCATCTTTGGTCCACAAAAAGAATAATCCGAATTACTTGTACAACTTAAATACCATGAGAATTAACAGGAAAACATATGGGAGGCATTCCTATCATATAAAGTGGGCAAGTTCAGATCAAAATATCCAATTTCCAACTTAGAAGACATCATTTATTTTAAATTAAGAAAAATTATCTACTGGACTCAGACCTTTGACCCCCACTGTAATGATTAATAATCCTGTTACTTACAGCAATAGAGGTGAAACATGTAAGTCGGCAATGCGATTGTAAAAATTTTGACGTAGTTCTGGCCTGTATAAGAACCATAAGGACCTCGATAAAAACGGTCAAAAAATTAATTAATTTCACATAATCTTGTGTACAATTTTTATATTTCAACTTGTACTGTGAGATCCAATCATAAATCACACGTTTCAACATCTAGTCAACAATATTGGTAATTGGTAATGTACTCTCGGTGCAATGTTTTTTCAGAACGAATTTTATGCTGTTGTCATCGATTTCTTCACCTCTTAATTTCTAAGAGGCTGTTTAATTGTATATATAGCCAATACTATAATTTATTTAATTACCTATGAAAACCGAATGCCAAAGTTGCGATCATTGTATCTTTAGGACCAAATACCGAAAGGTGTGATTGAATGTGGTAAGATCCTTCAGGTGTATTCCGCTGACAAGCCGGGAAAAGCAGACCAACATAAATTTTACGCCGTCACTGATGAACGAACTTTTGCGTTTAAAGCAAGCAGCGAGTCGTTAATGAAGATTTGGATGGCAACACTAAGTTTAAAGTCGAATAGTTTATGTATTAGGTGAATTTGTGTATGCAGTCATTGCCGTATTCAGCCGGATGATTTAGCCTTTAAATACTGTGACATTCATTGATAGCGGGATCTTCAGACTAGATACCGCCACTGCATACAATAAATATATTTTGTACATAATCAAATAGATAGTTCTGTTAACACAACAAAACGCCTTGAAGGCGGTTTTGCAATGGGGAGCACCATAGCCGGGTAGGAAAGCGCCGAAAAATAGTTTTTAATGACTGTAAATGAAAGATATTTTTACCATAACAATTGATTTTAACTTAATTTTAATAAATAATGTATCTTGCACGTTAAAACCGGGTGCACACCCTAAAATTTTAGTTAATCAATTTTGATTACAAGTTCATACCTTGCTAAGAGTTGGGCCATTCTATTCGCATAGAGGGATGAGAACTCTTCTCCCAAAGTAAGTGAACTTTTCTTTAGATTGTTGACAGGCCTTCTGAAGAGAAAGTCGCAAAAAAATGTATGGCTTATTCTTATAACCTAACTTTGTTGCAGTTGCAGACGATAAATTGGTTCCTAAAATCGTAGTGTGTGTACCTGTGGGTGTAAGAGTAATAGCAATTAAAACTGTTTTGTCTCATTTGTGCGAAGTTTGAAGGGTTTTCTTACTAAGCAAACGCCCTTGGATACTGTGGAATAAGGCTACATTCATACGGGCCGGACGAAACCTCTTGTGCCGGAACACGTAGAACCACCGTTCAAAATCTCTTACATTCTTACCTAAACCGGACGAATTCGAGGACGGTCCCGTATAAACGTATCCTAGAATTCGTTTGGATAATAGTCATCACGAATAGCGCGTTCGTGATATAAGGGAAAAGGCAAGGCGCTTAAAAAGCACCTGGGAAAAGGTGTATACGGGACTTCATAATTTAGAAATAGATCATTCCGCACGCGGCGCGCGGGTTTTGCGTTGAAAGATTTGATTGGCTAATTTGCAGCGCGGGAAAAAGTTCGGTCAAGCAAAACATTGAAAGTTGAAGCAATATATTTTACAAGCCTAAAGGCCATGTTACACGGTACAATTTTTTTCCAACTTGCAATGCAATTCTACTTCTAAGAGATGTACTGATTAGTGAAGAGTCTTGCAGAAGATAAGTGCATGAAGTGTAATATACACAAAAGTTGTTATGAAAGTTTCGTAGTTGCCAAACTTACATCTCTCAAAAGTAGAATTGCATAGACAATATGAATGTGTATAATCTGAGAATCTTTCTGTTTGAGAAACTTTCGAACTACCAAAAGGCAGATTTTGTTGTGTGTGCAAAGGCAGCCCTAAAAATAAAGCCTTCAGCCAATGTTGATTTCCACAAAGATAGGCTTGACCTGAGCAATCAATTGCAAACTTAATAATGGCAAAATACTACCTGGTCCTTTCAGTTTACAAGCGGCAGAAATGTCTGGACGCCTTAAATATCATTTCCCTCCTCTTGGCACCGAAGATATATTCAACTTTTTGATATTTAAATCAAATTTCTTCCTACAAAGCGTTTGAGGACCACAAACTATTTCAAGTATAATGGGAATGAATGAGGACTATCATCATTACTGGCAGTAACAAGATATATTACCAGTGCTAAAATGCAACCTTTTTAGGTATGTCTAGCCAAGAACTCCTACTAACTTTAACTTAACCCATTAATTCTTTCCCTTTTTTATTGCTTACTCTGATAATAAATATATAATAATATAATGTCTAGAGTCTGAATGTTGTTTGTATATACATAACTGTATGTCCTGTGTCCCAAGTGCAGCAGTCACCATTGCACTCTGGTGATAGCTGGGAGGGCACATTGTTTTACACATGTTGTGTGTGTATATATATATATATATATATATATATATATATATATATATATATATATATATATATATATATATAATATATATATATATATAATATATGATATATAATATATAATATATATATATATATATAATATATATATATATATATATATATATATATATATATATATATAAATCAGTATGAAGATAACAAGTATCGAGTTCGAAATCATGTAGGTATAGAGTGCTCAATAAAGTTTTAATGGAATAAACCAGTTTGTCATTCTTGTTATATATATATATATATATATATATATATATATATATATATATATATATATATATATATATATATATAATATATCTATGATATATATATAATTCTAGACATTGATTTTCCGCAAATCTTCATTATGAATTTCAATTGCTGAAACCTGCAAGGGCCAAGCCCCACCTAAAATACCAGCTTGAATTGCTACACCAGTTGCAACAGCTAATTCAGGGTCAATGGAAATGTTTGGTTCTTTACCATTGAAATATTCCTTTATTATGTGCCTAACTCTTGGTATCCTTGTTGATCCTCCCACCAAAACTATTTCATCAATATCACTCTGTTTCAAGTCAGTTACTTCAAGAACCTTTTTTACTGGGTCTATAACTTTCTGAAAAAGATCCTCATTCAGTTTTTCAAATGTCGAACGTGTTATGTTCAATTTGAAAACAGCCAAAATTTTCGCTCTATTTAAAGAGGGCAAAGGCAAGTTGACTGTAACATGAAAATCAGTTGTTAAATTCAATTTTACAGACTCAACCATTTGGTGCAGCCTCTGAATTTCTTCCAAGTTGTCAAGTTTTTTGCCAAATGTATTCTGAATGGTTTGCAAAAAGTATTGTAAAAGTCTGGTGTTAAAATCTTGTCCACCCAACCGATTATTACCAGCCATTGCCATGGTAACAAACATACCTCCTTGAACATTTAAAAGTGATACATCAAGGGTGCCACCACCAAGGTCAACAACTATGACATTGTTGATGTGGCTGTGTTCATGTAAGCCATAAGCTAATGCAGCAGCAGTAGGCTCATTTATTATTCTCAAAACTTCAATACCAGCTAACTGAGCAGCTTTCTTGGTCGCCATCCTTTGATTTTTGTCAAATTCAGCCGGCACTGACATAACGGCTTTTGTTATGGTTCTTGATATATTTCTCTCAGCATCATTTACAAGTTCTTTAATAATATAGGATCCAACTTCTTCAGGTGTAACTTTCTTGTCTTCAATTTCAAAAAATGCACTCCCATTCTCGTTTTTACCGAGCCTAAATTGATATAATCCGGCTACTTTGTCTAATTCCTTGTCACTAATGTTTCGACCTATGAATCTCTTGGCGTCGTAGACAGTCGATTTTGGGTAGGTCTCTGCCATTGCAAGGGCGTCATGTCCAATTTTCACGCCTTTTTCCGTAAAGCTAACAACGCTGGGCATAGTTTTTTTGCCATGCTGATCTTTAAATATATAAACATTACCAGTTATAGCTTCGTATGCAGCAATACAAGAGTATGTTGTCCCCAAATCTATACCTACGATTTTTGGTTTTGGCGGTGGTAGTCGGCTTTGAGCGATATATCCAGCGACAATTAGGCCCAGAATTGCTAAAGCAAGTAAACCAAAACTAGAACTCATCTCTCATTAAAAAAAAACACGTAAATCACTATAATATACTTGTTATTATTTGTTATTTATCTGTCCCTCACTGGTCCCTCGTAACTTCCTTGTATTTTCTTTCCGGAAGTACACGTACGTGCGCACTGGTTATGCGCGCGAAAATGGAACAGAGGAACCGGGGATCAAAGTGGGGATCAGGGGAACCGTTGGGGAACCGGAGAATCCCAATTGGGAGTTTCAACTAAACTTTACTAAAAAAGTTTTCCTTAATGTACTTTTCACTACGGCTAGAAGCGTGTAACTAAATTAATAATTAAAAAAGTAATTTTTAGTAAAGTAATTTTTAATAAGTTTTACAAAAAAGTATACAAAATTGCCAACTTCGCATGACTATATTTTCCTAAAATGCCTGGTAGCATTTTGCACCCAAACTATTGAGGTTCAGGTTCAGGGGCGCTAAATCAATTAGTGATGATGCAACATCCATAATTGCGAAATTTTTTCATAAAATGTTTCGCATTCACCAGTCCCAAAGAGGAATTTCGCGAAAGATATTACAAGGCATGAGGAATGACAAATATAAAAAACGGTTTTGACTCGTTATTGAAATATCCACTCAATGATGGAAACTTCATTCCTGCGTTTGGTCTAGGAGTATCTCCACTATCTCCATGTTCCAAGAATAATGTTGGGGGAACCGAGAAAGCTGTTAGTGTTGCTCTAAAGCATGGATATTATATGATTGATACAGCAGAGGCTTACGAGTATGTTCATTGTTTCATAATTGATTTGTACTATAATGCTATGGCTATGCATAAGATCACTGCTAATTACCATTTTCAACAATTTATTTAAATATTGGTGAAATTATGGTACTGCACTTTAAGATGACAAGCTGCAGCAAGCTATTAATACCCCCCTATTCTGATGAATAGTTATTAGTATGTATAACTATATAAGCAGTAATTCCACAAGCCTTGTCTGATTCTGCATCATATTATTTTACTTCCATAATTTGTTGCAAAGGCCAGGATCATTCAATTGTTATTATACATACGTACCCATCAAACTCACTCTATATTTCATACACATAGAAATGAGGTGGAGGTTGGTAGTGGAATTAAAAACTCTGATGTGAAAAGAGATGATGTCTATGTTGTGACGAAACTTTGGGATCAAAATGGTTATAATTACTGTTTAAAAGCATTTGATTCAAGTCTTAAACGGTATATTATGCATACATATAATATACTAACTATAATGTTCAGGAATATATATATATATATATATATATATATATATATATATATATATATATATAAGTATAATCTTGTTGTTCGAAAAGACAAAAGAGTGCTCAATACTATAAGATGTTATAGTAGAGCGAATTAAGTAGATGAAATTAAGTCTTAAAATGAATTTATTTAGCTATCGCTAAATAAATTCATTTTAAGACTTAATTTCATCTACTATATATATATATATATATATATATATATATATATATATATATATATATATATATATACATGGCCCTAGGTCTAGCTTAAATATTAACTAATGGTGTTTACTACATACAAGTGATATCAATGTCTTTATATTGGCAGGTTAAATATGGATTATGTGGATCTCTACCTAATGCATCGCCCTGATGGTGATCAATTATTAGAGACTTATGATGCATTCCTGACCCTGAAAGAGAAAGGTTTGGCAAAGTATGTTTCCAAGTATATAACATGTTTTCTGAACTCAGGCCTAGTTTGAAGGAATGTTGCAGTCAATGTTGGTATTACTATGAGTATTAGCTCAAGTATGCCACCCAGCAAAAAGACTAGAATTCATCCAACAAGCTGGGGCTAGTAAAAAACCTAAAGGCACAGCACTACATAAATGTGTGGTTAGGTTGAGATAGAAAAGGGTGTACATAAGGACAAGCCTCCTATCCTTGTACATCTCAATCATACTAGAAGCTAGTTGCATGATTATGATCTTTAATAGCTAGGTCTCACAATAAATGCTGGGATACCATGCAGCAATTGTTAAATATATAAGCAATGTTTTATTTAATATCAACTATATATATAGTTAATGAACACATCAAACTTTCAGATCCATTGGGGTGTCAAACTTCAATATAGCTATGCTGGAAGGTCTGTGCAAAGCTGGAAAGGAAACCCCTGCTGTCAATCAAATAGAAATACATCCATACATGAGAAGGGATGAGCTGGTTAAATATTGTCATGACCATAACATACATGTAATGGCATCCTCACCACTAACAAAAGGCAAAAGATTGAAAGAACCTGATATGATTACCATGGCAGAAAAGTAAGATATTCACATGCATTCATTAGACTAGCCAAACTTAATTGACCCTAAAGAAGCATGCTATATATTATTTTACCCTTTTTCTGTTCTTTTTTTTAACGTTTTCAACTTCAACAAGGTATAAAAAGACAGTTCCACAGCTATTCATTCGTTGGTCGATACAATCAGGCTTTAGTGTCATTCCAAAATCTTGCAATGAGAAGCGAATCATTGAAAATGCTCAAGTATTTGACTGGAGTATCAGTGATGAAGATATGGCAATTTTGGTAAAACACTTTCTGTTTCATTTTAATGCTTTAGTGAAAAATTGGTTGAAAATGTTATATATTAAATATTAATTTTAAGAAATGCAATCGCCATGCGAGTTTTTTAGTTGATATAAAGTTGATCTAGGATTACGAAATCGTTTACATAGTTCCACTCCCACAGGCACAGGTGAATTTTTTAAATACCACTTCGTTTAAATAACAAATGTAGTGATGTTTTATGAGAAAAACGCCTTAATTATGGACGTTTTTAAACTTTTTTCGGAGGCCAAAACCATCATGGAAGCATCACATGCACTATATCTTGCACTATGCAGCAAGGTGCGCTTTCCTTAATCCTTTATACGGTAAAAACGGCCAGACCGGTCGTGTTATGGTAAAAACGGCCAGACCGGTCGTGTTATGTTTCAATACAGACAGATTACTGGTATTTTTGAGTGTTTTAAGAAATCTGCATTAAAGTATATCGATATTTACATAGCGCCCTAGGGTACGAAATATCCTGGATCCGTCCCTGTTTATGTATTAATTTTTCACATTTCATTTTAGAATTCTCAACCACAAGCCACGTGTCTTGATGAAACAGCATGTATTTATCATGCTCATGACATGAAGCCATCATGGACGAGTTGATTCATCTCTTATACCACGTTAGCTTTAGAATACGAGCACTTTACGATAAGACTTTAAAACACTGACTTGGACGTTTTCACAGTAGTTACGTAGAGTAACAGGGCCTTTTTTAAGAAATTTCGAGTGGGTGGGCCATTGGCAAAAAAGGGCTTCCCCACTAGCGGAAAGAAGCAGGAATGTCGATCATGGCCGAAAGCTAGGGGGCACCGGGAGATTTTTGAAATCAGTATAGTCAAGAAACGCCGTTTCCTATATTCTTAGCCTTCAAATTTATTCTAAAAACTGTATTTGTATCTCAGATAAAAATATGGAAAACGCACAAAAAATATAAAGTTAACTTACGTCTTACCAAAAGTAATATCAAAGGTACAACATGTGTGTCAATATCAACAGGGAGTAATGGAGTGTATATTTGACAGTTTAGTGTATTTTCCAGTCTGAAGAGTATTTTCTTTAAACTGGATAATCTCTGTACACTCAAATATCCATGTATATTTGTAAAGGTAAAGATGCATTTGAAATATTGTACATTACAACAGAAAAATGATTGATCATTGATGAATCTATTTGTCTATTTAAGCCGTTTTTGTGCTCGACTGTCTCGACAAATAACATTCGTCGAGTTACATTCGACAAAGGTTGGGTTACAGAATACAAGAGTGCTAATAGTAATACACTGTCGCAGAGCTAAATTATTATTCAATATTCTTCATTTTTTGTTAATATCTTTCAAAAAGGGGATTTTCACTGGGGGGCCAAAATAGTGAACTGGGGGGGGCAACATGGAGGGTGGGGGGCCTTGGCCCCCCCAGTATATATGTTAAAAAAGGCCCTGTCTAAGAGTAAATATGCAATCTTGTAGGACATTTTAGCCATATGGCATATAGGACAATAGAGAAAAGATAAAATCTTGTAGGACATTATTCTTGAGTATCTTTTAATTAAATTTTAGGGTTTTATCTGTTACCATTTCAATTTGAAAAATATGCACATATGTTACTTTAGACATTTTTGGTCGCCTGTATAATTTTGTGAACTTGTTGCATGCATGCGTTTTTGCGCGTTTTACTAACCCACCTTACCCGTTGAAAGTTATATTAGGATAAAAAGAGGTCTTCACACAGTAATTTCGTCTCCTGAACTACTGATAAAACGATTTTTTAAAAGAAAAATCTTTTCGCTGAGACCACTGTGTTGTGACCATCTACAATGCCGTTTGTACTTCGACGCATAGCTAATTTTAAGATTATTATATCATCACAATAGTATAGTAGAGGGGCGGGACATGATACAATTGGTAGTAATTGAAAATTGGTAATTTAAAGATGGGGGAGTTGTAGGGCTTCCGCAGTACCTCTCACAGAAAGTTTTCAGTATTTTTGAGTTCTATGACTTGATTTCCAGCATTTTGGGGGAAAATTACTGACGAATCCATCTCAGCAGGGTGAGGTGTTTTAAGAAAATTTATCATTTTATCACTGCACATTCTACTTTTATCACTGCACACTAAAATTAGGTATACTTCGACGTAAGTAAAACTGTGAACGCAAAAAGTTTATGTCAATTTTATGGACTCTCCAAATACCGAGGATTTTATAGTAGGTTACAATCATTGGTTCAGCAAATTTCAATTACTTCAATCAGCTATTTTCCAACTTTTATCCTAGGCTGCTATTTTTCTGGTGCTAATATAGTACCTGAAAACCTACTACTTCTGATTTTTGTTTTTTAAAGGCCTGGCACGTTATACAGTGAGATCGTCTGCCAATTTATGGAATTGTATTCCTGATATGAAATTTGCATTAACTGCGCTGTTTTAAAAACAAAGTCACTTATATATTTCGCATTCCCCATTTCTCGTAAAAATTGTAGTAGCTTTTTTACTCTAGTTGCTACCATATGCTCGATACTGTAGACAAGAAATTTCTTGGTGATCGCCTGGATACTAGTGGACAGTAAAATGTTAGAGGCCTAGGGCGCCCCCCGAAAGGTTTCTGTCATTGAAAGCAAACCTTTTCTTATGAGCGTTCTTACACCTTAAGAAATTAGTACAGCTTTTAAAACGAATAGCAATACAGGGTGTCCCAAAAAAGTACCCGTGTAGTTATACTTTCGGAATTTATTATAGCTTCTAAAACTAACAGCAATACGAAAATGTCAAATCGCAAATTAGTCTTATCGTTAAATCGAGTACGAATTACTACAGAACAACGAATATTAGTTCATTTAGTTGAAAAGAACACTGTTTTATTTGTATGTTATTTGGCCCAGTGCCGCAGCCTCGTTTCCAGGCGCTTTAAATAAAATAAATTATATTAACACTACAGGTTTTTTAGATAGATCAGTGGCTAAGCAGAGCGAGCACGCAAGGAATTTTGGGGAGGACGCGACGGAGAAATGGAGCTTCCTTCTCTGCGTCCTCCCCAAAATTCCTTGCGTGCTCGCTCTGCTTAGCCACTGATCTATGTAGAAAGCCTGTAGTGCTCCTATATTTTATTTTATTTAAAGCGCCTGGGAACGAGACTGCCTATGCCGCATGGATCTTTTGGGGCGGGGCAGGCGAATGTTTAGAGATGTTAAGTTGTTAACAACGCCTGTTTAAAATAGGTCTGAAAGTCTGTCTCATACTTTAAGAAAATATTAATAGGGGCAAATTTTTTTGAAAATGTTTAATGTTGTTAAATTCATATTTCTTCGGGGTGGGGCAGACGATTATTTCCGGGTCTAAGAATGTGCAACCCTCCACAAGATATGCATGAAAAATGGCAAATATCAGGGAATTTGCTGCCTGTTCATCGACATATCCGCTGAATGATGGTAACTTCATTCCTGTGCTAGGTCTAGGAGTATACAAATGTTCCAAGGATGATGTAAGGGGGACTGAAAAAGCTGTTAGTGTTGCTTTAAAGAATGGATACCCTATGATCGATACAGCAGAGGTTTACGAGTACGTTAAATTTTGGGGTTTTTTTGCACATTTGTTTCACTCTTTATATTATGCTGACAATTCAGTTGGGTAGATGAACGTCTCATTCACAATTGCAAAAGCGAAGGAAATCTAACCATTGCCACTTTCCAAACTAAAGAACAAAGTGTAATATCACCCCTCCATATTATTGTATTAGGTAACCCCAGAATAGTACCTTACAATTGAGATCATCCTAGATTCTTAATATGTTGCAAAAGGTCATTATTACCCATAAAAATTAACTTGCTCTAATATTCATACACACAGAAATGAGGAGGAGGTCGGTAGAGGAATAAAAGCCTCAGATGTGAAAAGAGAAGATGTATATGTTGTGACAAAACTTTTGGATCAAAATGGTTATGATTATTGCTTGAAGGCATTTGATTCAAGTCTTAAACGGTGCATTGTAAACATATTATGTCATGCTCAGATGTTTATGAGTGTAAATTAATGCTAATGGATATGAAACATATTTGATGTATATTTATGTGGACTTCTTTTTTGTCATTTAATTTATTTGTAGGCTTAATATGGATTATGTGGATCTTTACTTAATGCATCGCCCTGTTGGTGATCAATTATTAGAAACTTATGATGCATTCTTAACCCTAAAGAAGAAGGGTTTGGCAAAGTATATCTCCAATTGCCATAGCATTGCTTTGATTATTAACCTAAATAATAATTTTCACACAAGGAATTTTTCAGCAATTTGTTAACATAGGTAGTGGTGCAGCCAGCATTGATAATTGGGGGGCCCATATTAATTGATATATTTCTGTTAACACACTGTAAAGACAATTGATTTAATCCTGCGTAACATGAATATGGGCCCCAATTATCATTCTGGCTATGCCACTGAACATAGGGTATTACAATATATATGAAGTCTCAGAATTTGTCAGGGCTTTTTATCACCCTATCCTTGTAAAAAGCCTAACTACACTGACTACAGCTTTTTTAATATATCTGTGGCTAAGCTGAAAGAGGGGGGCTTGAGAAGCTTCATTCCAAGGCTCTTCACAACATCCTCAAGTACCTTTGCATTTAGTGCTTTCTTTGCAATGTACTTCAAAGAGCCTGGGAATGAGGCTGGGGCTTGATGAGGATGCAATAGCTTCCCATTTCTTCAAGAATGTATATATCACTATTTTGACTGATAGCAGCCAAAAGGTTTTATGTCTTACAAAAAACTATGCCAAGGTAGTGTTAATTGCTGAATATTGCAGTGTTCTTTTCAATGTTAGGTGTAACTAGTAAATCCTGATCAATCTTTCAGATCGATTGGTGTATCAAACTTCAATATAGCTATGCTGGAAGGCCTGCGCAAAGCTGGAAAAGAAACACCTGCTGTCAATCAAATAGAAATACATCCATACATGAGAAGGGATGAGCTGGTGAAATATTGTCATGACCATAACATACATGTAATGGCATTCTCACCACTTACAAAAGGCAAAAGATTGAAAGAACCTGATATGATTACCATGGCAGAAAAGTAAGAAATTTCAGGGAGATCAGTACATGATAATCAGACTCTACACATTGTTGTTTATTAATATATTACTAAAACTTGAGCATAAAAATACATTTATCTTTTCTTTGTTTTGTTGACAGGTATAAGAAGACAGTACCACAGCTTTTCATTCGCTGGTCCATACAATCAGGCTTTAGTGTTATTCCAAAATCTTCCAATGAAAAGCGTATCATTGAAAATGCTCAAGTATTTGACTGGAGTATCAGTGAGGAAGATATGGCCTTTTTGGTAAATTCACTTTTTCTGCATTCGGTTCATTTATTAGTACAATCCTTAGCCTTAGGTACGTGTCTCGATCTACAGGTATTTTTGCAATTACCCTGGGATCGAGTTATTTTAAAAACCTGTTTTCCACTGTTGAATTTGTTCCTGGCTGTTTTTGCAAACGAATGGCAATAGCATTGCAAAAATGTTTTCTTTGCGTCCCTTTTGCAAATATAATTACTTGCAAAAGACATGCTAAAATTCTATTTACGCTCTGTTATCTTATATTCATGTTTTCTTTCAGAATTCGCTACCACAAGCCACGTCTATGAACAAAACTTCCCCTATTTATCATGTTCATGACATGACCCCATCATGGACGACTTAGGCCTAAGACGTCCATAATCCTAGCTAGCTCATCTGAATGAATAATTTTATTGATTGAAAAGCTGTGTAAATGAAATGAAATGAAAAGAAAACAATTTGAGAAATTCTCTTTTGATTGACAGCAGTGGTGTATCCTGATCTGATCCAGGGTCTACGCAGGGGTGGACTGGGCCCACAGGGATACCGGGAAATTACCGGGTGCGCCCCGCCCCATTTTGAAGAAAAGTTATAAAACATTTGCAAGTTATAAAATCGCAGTTATAGTTATACATTTGCATGACGACAAAATAATGAAAAATAAGGGATAAATCCGAAAATAGCAATTAGTGTGTTGGTTGATTATAGCATAATTATAGCGATCAAAATTCAATCTGATCTAAATCATAGCGGTCAAATTTTAAACTCGAAATGGTCAAATGGCAGCACACGCATCTTCAATAACTGTTGCTCATGTTAAGGCCTACTTTCTACACGATGCGATTAGTCATATACGATACTTATACTGGCGTTTGTATTCGAATAAATGACGGTGTAAAGCCCGGATCAAAGGAGGACGCAAGTCCATCGCAAGTTTAACTTTCGAAATACACTTCATATTCAAACGTTCTTGTGTTCTAAAAATCAGTTGCGGTGAAATTTGAACGGATTCACTGAACGTTGTCGAAAGTCATCGCAAGTGGACATGCAACCGAAGTACAAGCAAGCACAAGGAAAAACTTGCGATGGACTTGCGTCCTCGTTTTATCCGGGCTTAAGACAGGGGCGGCGGAACAGGGGGCTAGGGGGGTTAGCCCCCCAAAAAATTTCATGAAAAATGTCAGAATGGGAGAGCAAATAATAATACAAACTACGTTAACATGAAGTCAAAGTTAATGCTCGCCGGCGTATTAAATGCTAATAAGAACGTGATATCCTATAATATTATTAAATCATAGTTGTCTTTAAGCAGAATATTCGTGGTTGTACATTATTATTTTCGGACCGTGATTTTGTTTGGAAATCATTTTGGGAGATGATTTTTCAAATGTAGAAGATAGAACTACACGCACTGTGCCGTTTTCAGTTTGTGTTTGAAAGCGGCAAGTAAGACTCTGAAATGGCCATTTCCGAAGATCTGGAGCATTGAAATTCCAAAAAAAAATAGCCAAAACATATTTATTACCCTTCAGTTTCTTTGTAATTTTGTTAAATAGAAGTTAAATATTCTTTCTGAATGTTTTTATAATTTGCTTAATGTGAAAATGTCTTGAATTTGAGAATTATGTTTTGAATGATCACTCCTATATTTCGGCCATCTTGATTCTTGAATGTAAACAAATTGCCGCCAAAAGGTCATACGTCATGCAATTTTTAACGTGCGAAGAATATCGTACGTCCAATCAAAATTCGTGTATGCATTTTTTCACACGTGAAAAACATCGCATGAGCTATTGCCACTAGACGACTTGGCACGTCGACCACGCTATGCGCAATGGTTTAATGAACGGTGTCGAAACCCAAACTTTTTGAAGAACATCATTATTGGAGACGAAGCAGGATTAGCAATGAATGGAAAAGTCAACTCCCACAATGTGCGCGAATGTGCACCGAAGGGACAACCACCGGCATTTAACTTCGAACGCAGAAATTCTCGTGGAAAGCTTACTACCACTTTGCGGTAATGGCGTGGTTTTGGGCCCTTATTTTTTTGACCAAAATCTGGCCGGCCTCGCATATCTCCAAATGGTCAATGAATTTGCTTTTCCTCAACTTACCATTCAATTCAACAATCAGCATTGAGTGGGAATGTTTCGAGGGCTCTGGTGGGCACAGGACGCGGTTTGCTCAAACTCCAAAGTTGTATTGGCTACAATAGATCTTTTAAGATCTATTGTAGCCAATACAACTTTTGAGTGAAAGGTAAAAAAAGAGGTAAACAAATAGTCAAGAAATTTATACGGACCTCCGTAATCTGGTAAATAACATATAATTATATATTTTAAGGGGCCTAGCTATGCGTTTTGCTTATTATTATTAGCTACATTTCGATTACACGTGAAGCGAGTTGTCTCGTCTTGTTGGGACCGCGGTTCAGTGTAGCTTGCCGAGTCAACTCGCTAAGGCGTAACAGACATCGCTTCCATCTCCAATGTAATCGCTATTTGACGAGTTGTCTCGGCAAAGTGGCACACGAAATAAGACTCAGGAATACGCTGATTGGTCTGTTTATGCTGTCATGTCAGGACTGTCAGGATTGTCAGGTGTACTATTTGAGACCTTTTCCGCGGCCATCATGTCGCATGTAATTGTAGTTTTCAACTCGTCTCGGCAAAGCGAGTCAACTTGTCGTTTAGCCAGGCCAATTTACCTCAAGTAATCGGCTCCTAAGTAGCTTAGTATCAGATTGTTTCCATGCCACAAATGTACAAGAATTCTTAAACATTTTTTGTTAACGGTCATGCTTTGGAATGATTATCGCTAGCATCTCGCCTTGAACAGTAATTTACTGGCAAGATATGGTTACAAAGTATATTTGTAAAGCATGACGGTTAATACACACTCTTTAAATATCCAATGTAGCTACCGGTATGAACACCGACTGCAATCCTTGGGGGACTAGGAACTTGGAGTTTTAACGTAGTCTGATGATTTCAACCAAATCTTTTGCCTTTAATGGTTTGCCTTAAACGATTATCCGTTTGTTCACCAGCGTTGATGCACACGGATTATCATGCGGAACGCATGGATTATCATAACGAACTTTTCTTTGATCAAATTCGTCCAAATGCTGTATTTCTATTGTATTATAGACTCCATTAACGAAATAGTCCTCCAGTGCTTCGTGAGCATAAGGTCTCTCATCAATCTTGTGACTAATCAGCCACGACACAAACTTTTGAGCTCTACCCTGATCAAGTTTTTTCAAGTTGACATAGATGCCGTCTAAAATATTTCTATCTCGATCAAACGGAGAACCAAAAGGGTGCTCACCTTTAGTTAGGATGAAGAAAGCAATCATACCTGCAACGTGGACATCTGATTTCTTCTTGAAAGGACATTTTTCATCTTTGTCTATTACTTCAATTACCTCGGGTGGCATCCATCCGGGAGTACCTTTAGCATCTGTTTCAATTGTCGTTTCGTCGTTATTTAGAACACGGCTTATTCCAAAGTCTCCCAATTTCATGCGGCCTTCGATATCAACCAGGACGTTTGATGGTTTTAGATCTCTGTGCAATATTCCTTCACCATGAAGAAATTCAATTCCGGATAGAATTTCCCTAATCATTCGTGGACCATGCTCTCGCAGATGTTCAATGCTGCATGCATGAACAAGTTCATTCAAGTTTTCCTCGCAAAGATCAACAATTAGATACATGAAGGTATTGTCGCGGTAAAAATGTCGATATTTGACTACGAATGGAGATTTGTGTGTTTTAGTAAGATTCATGATTTCCTTTTCATTTTCAATTGTTTCATCATCGCTTTGTAGCAAAATTCTCTTAACAGCAACTTCACTTCCATCCTTCATGAGACCAACATAGACCCACGAATAACCACCAACGCCAATTTGGAATTGATTGCTTGCAACAAAAGCTTGTATCGGTATTTCAATCTATATAAAGGAGAAAAAGTCCCCGAAAAAATACAAATGAACACATCGAAATCTCAAGTCATTGCAGCATTGGATTGCCCAATAAACATACATTACAGTAATTCGCTGCTTTGAGAACTTCTGTTACAACTTGTATCTATCGGGCCATGCGATATCTCTGATATTAAAAATATATATAAATATATATAAAAATATATATATATTTTTTTTTTTGAGGTTGATCTCCATACACTTATAATAAAAATATATATAAATATATACATATATATATATATATATATATATATATATATATATATATATATATATATATATATATATATATATATATATATATATATATATATATATTTATATATTTTTTATCGCTACTTCGAGTCTTCTTCACGTTAAGAGCGTCTGTTTGGGTGTTTTGAGGTTGATTTGATATGAGTAGTAGCTAGGGGATGCGTTGACTGCATGCCAGGGATGGTCGCTGTTGAATTATTATATATTAGATTGTTGTGTATCAGATGCGGGTGGATCAAGGTATGAGTTGTTATTAGTTATATTAACGTAATTGTTTAGTACAGACAATACTATTAACAGACATATCGACATTGCTGCAGTCAACGTGCAACTTTATAGATAAAACGTAAGGACTCTATCAATAATCACGTTAATATAACTAACAATAACTTGAACCTTAATCCACCCGCATCTGATACACAACAATCTAATCATTCCACAGCGACCATCCTGAAAACGAAATGCAGCCAACCATGACAACGCATCCCACAACTACCACTCATATCAGATCAACTTCAAAACAACCAATCAGACGCTCTCGACGTATACTTGCATGAGTCTTAAAGAACAGAGCGAAACTTAAATATTATATAAAGCTAGACACATGCCGATTTCTGAAATATCTCCTAACTATATTACCTTGTCTAACTGGTTACAATTCCTTGCTTTTAACATTTGAATTTGCTCGCGATGTTTTACGGACTTTTTGAGGATAGTTGCAATTTCGTCATGACCAAGGTGAATACTCCATTCAAGAAGACTTATTTGCCTTTCTTCAAAAAGAAATGTTCCAGCTCTCCACAAAGCGTTGTTCTTTTCCCATAAGCGATTGAACAAAACGACGGAATTGTTTGCCAGAGCCATCTTCAGGACGTCCAAGACAAGAGCATGAACACCGATATTACTTTTCGGAGTTATAACAGCACCTTGTTCAAGTAAATACATGACAATTTCCAGTCTGCGAGCATCGATAGCAGCGTGGAATACTAACCATCCATCAGTTCTTTTTCCATTTACACCAGCACCCATTTCTACAAGATATTTTGCTATCTCCAGCCTACCTTCAGACACAGCACTGTGCAGCACTGTCCAACCGTCAGTCATCGTGCCATTCACATTAGCGCCCTTTTCAACGAGATATTTCACCAGTTCTAGCGTACCTTTAGTAACAGCAGAGTGCAACACTGTCCAGCCGTTAGCCTTCTTTCCATATAGCTGAGCGCTTTGTTCGAAAAGATTTTTTATAAATGCTAGACTACCAAAAGTGATAACACCTTGCAGCACTGTCCAACCGCCAGTATCCTTAGTATTGATATAAGCACCTCTTTCAACTGGATGTTTTTCCATGTCTAGCATACATTGAGTAATGGCAGAGTGTAGTACTGTCCACCCGTCACTAACCTTGCCATTGGTATCAGCGCCGTTTTCAACAAGATATCTCACCATTTCTAACGTACCGTTAGTAACAGCATAGTGCAGGACTGTCAACCCGTTATTATCTTTAGCATTAACTCGAGCGTGGTTTTCAACGAGATATTTTACCATTTCTAGCGAACCATTCGTAACAGCGACGTGTAACACTGTCCACCCATCACTCTTACTGCAATTTACACCAGCGCCGTTTTCAACGAGATATTTTACCATTTCTAGACTACCTTTAGTAACAGCATAATGTAAAACTGTTAATCCGTTAGTATCCTCGCCATTAACATCAGCACCTTTTTCAACAAGATATTTTACCATCTCCAGCGTACCTGAAGTAACAGCGACGTGCAGCACTGTCCACCCGTTAGTAATCTTACCATTCACATCGGCTTTCTTTTCAACGAGGTATTTCACCATTTCTAGCGTACCTTCAGCAACAGCAAAGTGCAGCGCTGTCCACCTGCTAGTATCCTTTGCATTTACATCGCCACCTTTTCCCACAAGACATTTTACTATTTCCAGCGTACCTTTAGTAACAGCAGCGTGCAGCGCTGTCCAACCGTAAACACTCTTTCCATTTACATTAGCGCCGTTTTCAAGGAGATATTTCACCATTTCCAGCGTACCATTCGTAACAGCATGATGAAGCACTGTCCAACCGTGCGCATTCGTTCCATTTACATCAGCGCCGTTTTCAACGAGATATTTCGCCATTTCTGGCATACAATTCGTAACAGCATTGTGAAGCACTGTCCAACCATTAGTCTTCTTACCATTAACATCAGCACCTTTTTCCACGAGGTATTTTACTATTTCCAGCGTGCCTTTAGTAACAGCACTTTGAAGCACTGTACTCCCGTCAGTTTTCTCTCCATTTACATCAGCGCCGTTTTGAACAAGATATTCTACCATATCTAGCGTACTATTCGTAACAGCATTGTGAAGCACTGTCCAACCGGCAGTCTTCTTTCCATTCACTTCAGCTTTTTTTTCAACGAGATATTTTACGATTTCTTGGGTACCCTCTGAAACAGCGGCGTTCAGCACTTTCAAACCGTTAATGCTTTCGCCATTTACATCAGCGCCGTTTTCAACAAGATACTTTACCATTTCTAGCGTACCTCTAGTAACAGCGAAGTGCAACACTGTCCACCCGTATGCATTTTTACTATTTACATCGGCCCTGTTTTCAACAAGATATTTCACCATTTCCAGCTTACCATTCGTAACAGCAGCGTGCAGTATAGTCCAACAGTTAGTTTTATTACCATTTACATCAGCGCCTTTTTCAACCAAATATTTCACCATTTCTAGTGTACCTTCAGTAACAGCACAGTGCAGTACGGACGACCTGTCATTATCGTTTCCATTTGCATCAGCGCCTTTTTCAACAAGATATTTCACCGTTCCAAGTGTACATTCAGAAACAGCACAGTGTAGTACTGTGCAGCCGTTAGCATTCTTTCCATTTACATCAGCGCCTTTTTCAACGAGATATTCCACAATTTCTAGGGAACCTTTTGCAACAGCAGTGTGCAGCACTGTCCAGCCGGTAGTATTATTGCCATTTACATCAGCGCCATTTTCTATAAGGAATTTTACCATTTCCAGCGTATTTCCAGTGCTAGCATTGTGCGGCACTCCCCCACTGTTATCTTTCTTACCATTTACATCCGCGCTCTTTTCAACAATATATTTCACTATTTCTTGAGTACTTTTTGTACAAGCAATCTGGAGCACTGTCGAACCATTAGAATTTTTGCCATTTACATCAGCCCCTCTTCTGACAAGGTATTCCACTATTTCTAGCGTACCTTTACTACAAGCACTGTGCAGCACTGTCCACCCGTCAGTATCCTTTTGATTTACACTAGCGCCTTTTTCAACAAGATATTTTACGATTTCAAGCGTAGCTTTGGTGACCGCAATGTGCAGCACTGTACACCCGTCAGAATCCTTTCCATTAAAATCGGCACCTTCTTCAATAAGATATTTTACTATTTCCAGAGAACCTTGAGCAACAGCAGAGTGCAGCACTGTCCAACCATTAGTCATCTTGCCATTCACATCAGCTCCCTTTTCAACAAGATATTTAAGCATCTCTAGCGTACCTTTAGTAACAGCGCTGTGTAGCACTGTCCACCCGCGAGCATTCTGGCTATTTACATCTGCGCCCTTTTCAACAAGATATTTTGCCATTTCCAGTGTACTTTCCAAAACAGCATCGTGAAGCACTGTAGTCTCATCAATACTCTTCCCATTGACATCAGCGCCGTTTTCAACGAGATGTTTTGCAATTTCAGGCGAACCTTCAGTGACAGCGTAGTAGAGCACTGTCCACCCGCTATTTTCCTTACCATTTACATCTGCGCCGTTTTTAATGAGATATCTTATCATTTCTAACGACCCATTAGTAACTGCACTGTGAAGCACTGTCCAACCGTAAGTATCCTTTCCGTTTACATCAGCGCCGTTTTCAACAAGATGTTTCACAATTTCTAGCCTATCTTTATTAACAGCTGAGTGCAGCACTGTCCACCCGTCTGTAAACTTGGTATTCACATCAGCGCCGTTTTCTACAAGATATCTAACCATCTCAAGGGTACTTTCTGTGACAGCATCGTGCAGAACTGTCCTCTCATCAACATTTTTTCCATTTACATCAGCGCCTGTTTCAACAAGATATTTTACGACGTCTAGCGCGTCTTCAGTAACAGCGTCGCGCAGCACAGTCCACTCGTCAGTATTCGGGCTATTTGGTTCATCAAAACCTGAATTTATGTCACTCTTCTTGACCTGGGGTGTAATAACATCATCACTTGCAAAAGCTGCCATTTTTGAGTAGAACGTCTACGCTGTTAAACAATTGTGATTTCGTGCAAAGCCACACTCTTTACTGCGCACCCTTAATTAAAAAGCAAAATTAGATCTAGTTTGTAATAACTGATTATTGACCGAGCGTGAAATCTGTACAGTGAAATATCAGACCGAGGCTCTTTAGTATGGACCGAGGGACGAAGGGGAGAGACTCATGCAAAAATCCTCGGTCTGATATTTCACAGTACAGATCGAACAAGCAAGGTCGATTGTTATATTGTATCATTATTATATGCATGGCTTTTAAAAATGCTCTATTCTGATTTGTTAACGAGCGGTCCGTAAAACCCATATCCGGACCGTAGTCCGTATATTTCGTATCGGGACCAGTATCCCGGATGTCTCATCCACCTCATGCAAATAATAAACTGATTGTTGACCTCGCTTGTTCGATTTGATATTTCACACGGACTTCACGCTCGGTCAATGCGCAAGTTCTGACACGCATGCACAAGTTCTGACAATGATCAGTAAAAAGTTTGGCCTGTCCGGGATGCTTTATTTAAAATTTTTACGCCTGGCTCGAGATAGCTTTTGGCGATGTAAAAGGATTTCGTTATTGTACTACAGGCGTAGAACTCCTCTACGTTTTTTTTTCATTTGAAAGGTTACGGCGCATTCTATATTATACATACACATATAATATATCAGTTAAACTTTACAAACTATAATGACTTCTTGAGTTATATCTGTGATGCAATTATTTTTCCTCTATTGCTCCTCCCCCGTTTTTTAATGTGGCATGCATTTTTATGTAGTATGCTGCATAATGCATATCTAATAATATCTTTATAGTTGAATTATAATTGCTAAAAATCATTGCCTAGCTTTTGAAATACCTCGATCTTAACCGAAATCGATGAACTGGTCGCCATCTAGGATTTCGCTCAAGTGTGATTTTGATAACGCCACAAGCGTGATTAAGGTGGTGCACTACAAAAAATTTTTTCTTTAATTTTGAGAAATATAAAAATCTGTTCATGCAATATTGCAAGTCAAGTTGCTCAGAATGAAAAAATACTTCTATGAATCTTAAATCACCATAGTTACCAAGACCAGACATGCCCAATGGTGGGAAATGGACGAATTTTGTAAACACGATAACTAACTAGGTTTTAAAGCTAGAACAACGACGGAATTGGTTTTATTTCCTTGTAAATATCTTTGTCTCGGAGCTGAACTTCGAATAAATAAAACTTGTCCAGTATTAAACGTTTTGCCGGCTGGAAACATGAAACTTCTAAGATCTATCTAAAGTAAACAGTCGCTATTTTATTTAGACTGAACGGAATGCAAAACTTTTAGGTTCATTGTCTCTAAAGTTAACCATCAAAATTTATCAAGTTAGTTTGATAATAAAGCGACGAAAATGTTTTGCATATATTCATAAATTATAGAGAACAATACAAAACTGTGTAGAACAATGTGACCATAGAATAAGTCAATCAAGCCGTTTTGCTTGCTTGGAGAAAAACCCTAATTAATAAAACTTTTTGATTAATTCTCGCGTTCTTTGTATATTTTTTGGAGAAAAAATATTCAGGATCGCTCAGGGATACATTTAAGTTTGCATCCCTTGGAATTTTTAGAACAAAATAAATCATGATTTTTTTGTAGTGGACCTCCTTTACCATATAAAACTACTCTTAGATAGCTATGTGGTTTAAGGTGTTCTTTCAAATAAAGTAAACTAAATTTTCATTGCCAATACTCTTTAAAAACAAAGAAGTTTAATTCGGTTTAATTCAAAATGAGTCTCATTTCCGCTTTTAAAGATAGCTCCTCCTAGCAGGATCTAATTTTTTTGACATGTGTCATTATTCGAATATCAACGGCAAATTACGAAGGACGTGTTTCTTCATTGAGTTGGCAGCTATCTTTAAAATAGGGAACTAAGGAACTGGGGAACCGACTAGGAACAGGGCAACGGGGGCACAGGAGAACGAAGGAACCAGGGACGAGAAGCGGGGGAATTCCTCGGTGCCTCTGTTTCCAGTTCTTCCGCTCCCAAGTCCCCCCATTCCCCCCTTCCCCAGTCCTTGCCTCCCACGTTCCTGCATTCCCCTGCTCCCCAAGATCCCCGGTTCTCCCGTTCCTTGGTTCCTTGGTTCCTTGGTTCCCCTGTTCCCAGTTCCCCGGTCCCCCTATTTTAAAGATAGCGAAATTTGCTGAAAATATTCCGATAATGGCGTATGTGAAGCAAATTGGATCCCTCCTCTCCACAAAATAAATTCCGATAATTTTTTTCAAAACACAGTTTTTAATCAACATATTTACGTATTTTCATCTAAAAACTACGTGAGAACTTAGATATATATCCAACTTCATATATTTTGTTATTTTGCAGTATTTTAAGGTTATATTTTAGTTTGAAGCGAAGTTTGATAGGAATGTATTAATATATCATTGAATATTCGTCACAAAGTTGCCGACCTTAGGATTTTTAGGTATTAGTAGCACGCTTGACGATTATTGGATTCTTCTGCCTTGGGTTGTATTCCAGACATCGTATTGGCCTCTAATGTTGGTAATTCTAAAGTCACTGCATGATAAAAATCTACGTAATGTGGCATTCTGTCACTCCCGCCTGTGTGAATCAAAATAATTAAACATACCAAGAAGCACAATACCTCGCAAAAATCTGCTACTCGATCAGCGAATGATTTCTAGTCGCTTCATGGTTCTGATTGGAGCGAATTACTACGATGAGGAAAAAACATTTGTTAATTTCCTTCCTTTGGTGGTTTAAATATGAACTACAACATCGACGATACACCATTCGAAAATAAGCTCACAAATATTTGAAATAAAGATCTTTGTAATCTTCGTTTCGTCGACAACTAAGGAGGTCGAGTATCGTCATTGTTATGAACCAATCATCTTCTAGCATTACTGTAATGCCCACTCAAAACAACTTACCAGGAACAGAAAAAAACCTCAGGGACGATGAAGTTTCCCACCATTATTTAGCTACTTTGACCAGAATACTTAAATATTATAATTAACTGGTTGCAATTAAACATAACGCCGCGGCACTTATTGCAAATATTGATTTGAAGACAGCTTATTTGACAGCGGCGCTTATTCGACAGCGGCGCTTATTTCAAAGTGAGCAAATAGATTATTTTCTGAAGGCCGATGAATCGAATAAACTTTTGGTAGAGGTTACAGAAAAAAAAGAGCGAAGTTGGGCTGGTGATTCACGCTAAGTTCATAGCATATACGGCGAATCGACGACATGCGCAAGTGTTAGACACGGAGTTAATTAGGAAGAAGGAAAATTTTAAACTATATATCAGAACTGTCATATGAGCCCGGTTGTAAGAAGAGATATTCGACAATAAAACTTTAAAGTTTCAATACTGTCCGTCGTGCTCAATAGTTTAAATGTTAGGATTAACGCGTTTAAATAAAGAATCGTTTATTTCTACATTTTTTAGCGTTTATTTATATCTTCCTAAATAGGCGCCGCGGCGCTTATTCAACAGTGCCGCTTGTTAAATTTTTTTATTGAGGTGCGGCGCTTATTCGACAGCGGCGCTTATTCGAGTAGCGGCGCTTAATCGATCATCTACGGTAATGGTAACGTTTATCACCCCGGAGTAGTAGATTACCCCCCCATATACGGATGAAAGGGATGCCGCCAATGACGTCACAATGGGTGTGCATGGGGATGCCACATGAACATTATGTGGGGACACATGATAGTTTCGCGTGAACATCATGGATGATTCATTTTGCGTTTAATGACGTCATACTAAATGTACACGGGAGTTTCACGTGTGCATTATGCGTTTGATGTGTGTAGTGTTTATAGGGTATGATATAGGAATCAAGATCAGATTTTAGTATGGATTATTTATTATTTCGATTTTTTGAAAAATCATGGTACAGTTCGATTTGTTTGTGAAATAATTTTTATTAATATAATTTAGGTACTCTACGACTATTAAATAGATAGTGATTTAGGATACGATGAACTATTGTTCTAAAGTCACTTAAACTTACGGTTCGTTGTATTTTGATGAAATGTGCAATCATCAATAAGTAAAAATTAATGTTTGAGGGAAATAAGAACGAGTTTAGTAGAAACATCTGATCACGTCTCAGCATGCAGTCGGTGACTTCTATCCACCAATTATTATCATAGGTCCTACACGACGTTTCAGGGGTGTGCACGTTTATGTACTCGAGTGGTGTTTTGACATCCATATAGTGGCCGTATTTCTTGTGTCGTATAGGTGGTTTGTTTGAGTAAACGCGGAACACTTTATCTTCGCTTCCAAAGTTATGATCGCGTTTTGTACAGAATCCAACTTTTAGACTTGAAGATGAGAGACATTTTGTCAACAGTATCTTTAGATCAATTTCATCATCTATCAGAGACTCAGTCACCCACATTAGCTTTTCAGTTATTTGTTTTTCAGTGTCAAAGTCATTCTGAGTCTTCGATAACGTTAGGAGTACAGTTTTAACGACGAGATCTTTTAGAGTCTGCACACGCTCCATCGCCAAGGGTTATGTACAACTGAACATTTTATTAAGTGACTGTTGATATTGTACAACATCACATGCATAATGATACATTAACATATCATGTGAGCATTGTATACAGGATTTGAATAATTAAACAATGTATACGTATAAAGATAAATAAACAATGTACACATGTGGATAATGAAACAATGTATACACGTAGACAACGCGTGTTGTCTACGTTGACATTTTGCGCGGGCATTGTATTATTTGTGTACCCATACAGGATACATGTGGATAATCAAACAATGTGTA